AGTTTGATATAATAAAAGATTGATATATAAGACTTATTGATCACATATATATATATATATATATATATTTAAAAGAACAACCAATAATAATAAGGTGGATTCATACATCAAAGGTAATATTAATTCTTATTAGTTTATTATATAAATGTGATCATCGACTCATTTAACTAACTTCAATAATTTTAAAAAGGATTATTGTCACCATGCAACGCATGGTGTCAAACACTAGTATATATAATACCAAATTACTAAAGGCGCTGAAAGAGGCTTAGAGGGTGGAAAAATTGGTTGCTTGGAGGAAGAGGAAGGGTCAAACCACATTTTTTGATTGAGAGGAGAAAGTACTAGCTTTTTGGGTTTTAAAATATTAAAAATACACATAGGACCATTGGGCTTTGATCTTTAGTTTTTTAGAATAAAAAAAGACACTTTTGCTACAAAGAGAAGTACTACTACTGCCATAAAGCTTATTTAAAAAAGCCAAAAAAACCATTCCCAGAACAGATGGAGTACGCCTCGACACTGCCTCACTGAACCGCCTGAACCAAGGCGTAAGCCTCGTTCAGTGTCCAAGAGGCGCCGCCTCAGGTTCAGTTTTCGGTCGCCTCGCCTCAAGGCGCGTCTCGGTCGTACGCCTCAAACGATTTTTAAAACCATGGCTGAAAGCAAAGGCACACCAAATACTGAACATACTAATTTAGCAAACCTGATGCTCCTACCAATGGCTGTTGTTGAACTTTGCTGGTATTCTTTGCCTATAAAAGGGTGGCAACCCCATCGTAAGATTTAGACACATACAAGTTTACAAGCAATCTCTTATCCCTACATCTAATTCTCTTAATACACACACCCACTTTCATAGAAGCCTCAACAAGGATTTAAAACCTTCCATTGTAATTGATTCCAAAGGTGGATAGAGGGTCACCACTCACCACCCTTTTCATTAGCTACCATTACAGGACAGGCCTTGAGGACTAGCAATAGCAAACGAGAACATTTCATTTTTTGGTTCTTGACGGAGGACCCTTAAGAGTTTCTATGCAAAGAGAACCCTATTCCCAAATACCAACCATACACTTCCTCCCAAGGCCGGTGGGAAATGTAATTCTCCATAATCATGCATTATGGTTCAATTGGACCATAATTGGATTGGGCTAGACACCTACATCATCTATTTTCTCTTCTAAGATAGATTTGACTATGAGTGGCTGTATACATAGACATTTTCCACATTTGTTCTTCCATAGTTGTTCATGCCTCTCATCCCTCTCCATATTGGTTATGGAACTGTAAGTAGTGGTTGTAGATGAGCACCAAGAGGGAAGACAATTTCAAATAGAAGAGGAAGAAAAGTGAAAACATACATGGATGGTGATAAAATGAAGAACTGTGAGAGGCAGCTCAGCACCCCCACCTGGAAGATCCTAAAAGATCAATCAGACTGTATAGTTCAAAAGCATAGCCCTAGATTAAATTATTGTATCAATGACCCTCTCATGTATGTACCTGAAGTATCAATAGATGTACCATTTTTTTTATATTTGAGCTGTTATTTAAATTATTATGGAACTGATTGTCAAACATTTGTACGTTGGAAAAACTTGTGTGCACAGAGTGTAAATCATGACAGGGTTACCGGTTGAGAGACCACCTCCATGTCGATGGTTGAAGACCGGTCAGGAATTACCCCTTTTTAGTGTAAATGGTTGAGGACCAACAAGAGCGGACTAGAACCAACATCATCAGAATGTGTTACATGGAATGATTCATATCTGACGTAGATGAAATATTCATAAGCGGCATTGATAACTTTTAGTCACCTTGAAGATGTGCTGTATTGGATCATATGGAATCCTTTTTTTTGTTGGAGGCAGAAATAATAGTTAACTCGCTGAGTACAAATTTATGTGCAGCATTGTGTAAGATTATGAGCAAATTTCTCTTAGTAGACTCCAATGTTTATCAAGGCAATCTTGTAGGACCACTTTATTGCAAAACTTTGATGTGCATGTGTTGAAAGGATCACACAAGAAAATTGCTCTCAAAGTTAACTACCCTTGGCCGGTATATCGCTGCATGTTAGCAATTGAAGTTCATTATATATATACATGTAAGGAGTTGTAACACATCGAACATTATATGTGCGTATACTAGCTTGCTCCTTTCAAGTCTATTTAATCCTAAGCATCTGGAAATGTTAAAGCCATTGAATCCTTGATATGAGCTAATTTAAGTATCTAAGATTGTATTAAATAAATACGAAAAATATGGGACCACCTTTTTGGAACCTTTTCGATTCACTTTCGGATGGTTAAATGCTTCTAAATATGAAGAATTTTAGACCTCCTGTTTTCAATCATATGGTTTGTTACTTTTAAATGGGTGCAGTCATGTGGGTTATGTTCACTAGATGCAGGCTTGCTCATAATTGCCATAGTAGCATGATGACTTTCAGTTTATAACAAGACTAAAGCTATTGAGCACAACCAAATATACTAATTAATAATTATAAGTTTGTACAAATTAAAAAGACCAGCTTTGTTTTGTTGAGCTTGGCTAATTTGTGATGCTGCAATAATAACTCACTCCCACATCCTCTCGGACTACTGTCATCGGTACACATGAGGGGTCTCCATTGAGTCTTCTTTATGACAATAATTGTCTAATAGATAGATGCCATTAGAAGTATAATGACAAAACTGGTTGTTTTAGAGGTGCAAAAGGACAGTTCCCTTGAGTGAGTCCCTTTTATTGTTTTAGAATTACATGTTGCTTAACTTCTCATACTTATTGCAGTTTTACCTATCTGGTCATTGCAAATATGGAGATTTTTGCAAATTCAATCACTGCAAATCAGAGGCTGAAAAATCTACTGGGCAACTTAACGTTTATGGTTTTCCAAAAAGATTGGTAATTTTTGTTTCGCCTTAGCTTTTCTATTATGCCAATAGGCCATAGATGAATTGGTGCAATAATTTGTTTTAAACTATTGATCAGAGCTGCTGAAGATGTTTAGCATATATGGTCTGTAGTAACTATACTATCTCTTTTACCAGGGGAAGAAAAACTGTGCTTTCTACATGCGTACTGGTATGTGTGGTTATGGCGAGTCCTGTAGGTTTCACCATCCTGATCCTTTCTTCATTATGCCTGAACTTTATAGTTCAGTTGTCACTGGTGAATCCATGGATGATCACAAAGAAACTTCAGAAATCACTTTGCATTTCTCGGAATCAACTCCATCTCATCTTTCACGGCCTCTAATAACACCCAAGAGTCTTGCGTATGTGCATCAAAATTTTGTATTGAGTGGGAATCAGGTATGGTCTTATAGGTTGAATTTGTTTACTTGGTAATGATATATATCGAATTTGTCTTTTTTTTAAACTCTTAGCAACTTGCAGCTTGTTACATGATATCTAGTTTCAGCAATGCTTTGACTGCTACCTGTTTTCACAATGTCTTTCTAAGTATCTTTTCTTGGTTATATTGTGTAATCTGGGAATTCCTTTCTTCCTTAGCCACTCACAAGCAGGCATGCCACCTACTGTTTCCCACACTGTCATTTGCTAGTTTGCACATGAAACACTACTAAATAACAGATGCACTTAATTCTCACAGACAAACACATAATCTCATTCATAAATCATGCTGGTAATTGTACGTGCATTAAAATAAAAGTTCGTATATGACTTGTCGCTATTATTGCTTATCATTTTACTCACATAACTCACCCACACTCAATTTCCTACTCAATTCGCATCGGGAGTTCGCACCACTGATGACCAAGTATCAACTAAAAACGACTATATGCTCTCAAGTAATTTCTCACTATCTGTATATACATGCTAATAGGTATACAAACATTAAAGTACATGGTTATCAAAATACCAGTAAGAGTGTAAGACCATGAATCAGTTGAATTACCATGACTTCTTATCTTTGTTCTACACAATCAATGGCATTGCTTCTGTGGTCATGCTCTATCTTATTCACATATTATGGAGATCCTGAGAGCAGGAGAACTAATAAATAACCCTGCCTTGTGCTGGAAGGTGTCAACATCTGTGTATTGTTTATCTCTCTCACTCTCTTCCATGTTGGTCACCCTAGCAAAACATTTCCCAGATAAAAACAGTCTTAGTATAAGCTGATGTGCTTTACTCAGTCTGATGCTAAATTTGCTTTACTATACGAATAGACACCAAAATGCAACCAAGTAGTAAGGTCTTCTTCTGCACCTCCAGCAGCAAATATTGAAACGTTTGAGTATCGTCCTTATGACCCTCTCAAAAGAGAGCCGTGTGTTCTCAATGACATTGGCTTGCCTATAAGGCCTGTAAGTATTAAAACCTATGGCTTCTGGACTTGGCGTAAATGTTTTTACTAAATTTCTGCATTTGATCCAAATCCAATGGCCTGAATCATTGTTCTTCTTATTTGTTTTCAATCATGGATTTTCTTATTTCACTTAATATTGGTTGTATTGATTGCAAAAAGAAGTTATAATATCATATAAATTCACCTTTTTATCGACTCGTAACCTTCTGTTTTTCAACACAGGGAAAGAAGGTATGTTGGAATTACGAAAGGGTAGGGCTTTGCAAGTTTGGCCATGCTTGTGCATATGACCATCCCAACAAGCACTCACCAAAAGATGGATCCACATCAGAGTTTCCTTCCGGTGGTAAGACCCAGGATATTGACAAGTAGAATGGGCACTGTACAGGAATAAATTTCAGGCATTGATGCAGTCATATATACATATTGGTTTCTTATTCCTGAAATAATCTCTCTGCTAGGAAAATCTTAAGTTTTCTTACCCGACTTCTAAAATTTAACTTAATCTGGGTATGATGCATCATTTTGAAATAAAGGGTTGTCTGTTTTCATTAACCAGAATCTCTCTACTCTTAGAGGTAGAGGTAAGGTCTGTTGATCTTTCTTCTGGCTGGGATACAGTGCGTGGGTTTGGTTTATAAACCAACTTTTTCTTTCATGTAGTGCTTTCATTCTGATCCCATGCTGCAGTTGATTGGTTAATGCTATATGTTACTTGTTTTGAATAATGCTTGACGAAACTGATTTGGGGTATGATTCTTTTGAGTATGTTGCTGGTGATGTTTCCTTGTTTGTTTGTTCCCATTGTTGTCAGCCAAAGGATGCAAACTATAAAAACATTCACTGAAGTTTTCATTGCATTACTTTATCACAGACTAGATAAAACAAACAATGAAACTAGGCTTCGTGTCATCGGATATTTATTGATGGCATAACTACATGTGCGGTCTAAGTATTTTTTGCATTAGAAGTACCACACTCCTCTTGTTTTTATGAGAAGGGGCTTAGATGGAAGGTTTGAACACAAGAACTTTGAAAGGGATTCATAAGAGAGTTTATAGAAAAAGCTTTCTGGTATTGCTCGAATGTTTGTTGATGCCTTTTAAAGGAGAGCTTGCGCCTATTTGTAGGGAGTTTTGGAAAATCATAGAGAGAAGAACACCTTTGATGCAAGATCGGCCTAGGAGCTCCTAGGTTCATCTACATGGCACTCTTTAACACTCTACAAATACCAATAGCTATTAGCTGACTAGATGATTTTAGAGAACACTACAAGATACATGAAGGTATTGGAATAAATTGCATAACTCTAAAGGTTAGTTATCTCTAGTTCCTATTTAATCTTTGAGTGTTAAAGTTCGTTTTGGTGGAAGTCCTCTTGGTGGTCTAGTAGGCACCAGTTGTGCGTCTTTGGGTGGTAATTTGGCAAAAACCTCAATTGAAATTTTCTTCCGCCTAATTCACAATGTATCTGCAATTGAATGCAGGTGGATACATACTCTTTACATCTTCCACCCATTTTCCGATGAAATTTCTACTTCTTGAATGGTCGATTCTTTATTTTTTTGTGCCCTCTTCATGATCTCTTATTCGATTGCCTGTTTTGCTTTTCTTTATCATGTACATGCATCATAGATATTTTTTGTGCGTTGCCTCTGGCATCCCTCTTGAGTAGGATCATGATTCCTACCCTGAGTTGCATGATGCACAAAGAGTTCTATGAAGGTAGGTGGGCGACTGTTCCTTGTCAAAGAATTCTATATCGAGGGCTAATTGAAGGTCATCAAGGACGACCATGGATATGTTGATATTGCCCTTAAGTGGACCAATCAGACACTCACTCCCCTAGCAATACTAAGAATGTTTTGTGCTTCGGAGTAAATGGTCTTGAGTTAGCCCCCCATATCGTCGTCGATTAAGAGGAGCCCCTTGCCTCACTTGGAAACTTTTACATGACCTCTCTCATGTATAAGGGGAAGGCTCACCAAGATGATCAAAGTCTTCTTAGAGACTTGGGTGGAGACTAGACTAGCTCCAGGATAAAGAATGCAACCAAGGTAGAGATGAATGATTCTACCGACAAGTTACAGGACAAAACCAACTCACTTATTTTAGCATATGTGATGAAGTTGTGAGACACACCTTTGTCCATCGGTTTTGTTTCTTGGTTGTTGAAGCAAGCACCCACCCATATTTGGCTTCTCGTGCTTGGCTTATATGGCATTGAGGAGTTGGATTGAGAATATTTGTCCTTCAAACTCTGGTGTCCCCGGTGTTTGTCGTTGCTTCTCTTCTTCCGAAAGTGAAAGAGATTCTCTTTGGGTGCTCCTCACACAACAATTGTGCGGTGGGGGATTGGACGTGCTTTCTTTTGACCTTAATGGTTTTCAATAATAGCAACTTGAGTACGCCAAAAGCTTCGATATGGGATAAATAAAACGAAGAAAGTTTCATATTATTTATCTTAGTATTGAGAGATGTGCAACTGCCGTGATTCCTTCAATACAATAAAGGAACCATAGATCTAGTGTTATATTTGTACAAGTCCACATGCCGCAAATTACCGAGTTACCATAAACATAAAACCCATAGCTATAGCCAAGGCACGTTAACTTTTTTAGTGGATGTTCAAACAACGAGATTAAACAACATGAAGTTTGAGCTCTGCGTCCTTCGGCTTCAATTGAAAGTGGTTTAAGTATTCCACTCTCATGATCTCACTATCATGAATTTTATTAAATAGAGTTGTGTTCCGGTGAGAATGGAAGTTATGTGAGAAGGGTAAGAAGGGATCTCCAACGCTTGGATCAATCCTAATTGAAGATCAACACTAATGAGATGCACCGGATCAATTCCCATGAGAAACTCAGTTAATGGGGTGGGGTGAGATTAAAAGTGATAGAGGGTCCATGTCCTTTCTTACGCTTCTCATTTTAACTCCTATTCTCACACGATTCTTCGTCTTATAAAAAAGGTACAAATAGTATCTAATATGCAATTGTACTTTTCTAGTACATCATGTAATCTTGGTGCTGGTACTAACTACAACGCTCCAAATTCTATCACTTGTCAAACCAAGTTTGTCAACATAAGCATTTACTAGGATAATTAAACATGTGAGAATAAGTTTGGTGCTAAATCGATGTTTATTTAGGTAAAATTAGGATTGCTAGTGAGACTCATTTGGATTAAGATTCCTTTACGAGAAGAAGCTAATGCATTAGTGTGTTCTTGTCAAATGCATTGTTTTTGTCTACATTTGCATGGATTGGCAAATATCAAGGGATCTAAGGGTTTGTTTGTTAGCAACTTAATAAGCTTAATGGAACTCACAACTTATTCAGTCAGCTATATATGACTGTTTGGTAGTGGCTTAATGATATAGAAAGTGACTTATTTAGTAAGTTTCTAGGGGGAGTTTTATGCAGAAAGTCAAGTTTTTCCTAAAGTTTCCCCTCCCAATCAAAAAACATGCTTCTTCGATTTAAGAAAAAACCCTCCCAAACAAAAACCTACCCAATCTATACACATAGATTAATCTACACAAATAGCTTTATCCATACAAGACTCAATATAAAACAAACCAAACATCCCCTACATAAGAAATTATGGGAGTGTATCCCCGCTTACAGCTTTACATTTCACTTTGTAAGTTAAATGAGCTCTTAACAGAACCAAATATTAGGTAACTACATATTGGCTTGGAATTTTATTCTTTCCGAATTTAATTGATCTTCCATGATGTCATTAAATAATCTTATCATTTCCCTCTTCCAAGTTGATAACATATAAGTAAGGTTGGTTATTATGATATTATGGCCTATGAAGCATTAATTACATTGCGTTTTTACTTTCTACATATTTATTGTGTTTACATCTTTGATAGAGGCGTACCCGTACAATATCCTACCGAAGGGATGTTGCTGAACTTGTGTTAAAGTGACTGGAGAATCATCAACAATTAGCTTTCCGACTATGGAGAATTGCATGGATTCAGTTTGTGCAAATTGGATTCAGCTCCAAGCTCAATCAACCAATGATACGACTTCTCATTCAGCTCTCGTTTTTCCACCAACACAGGTCAGATTCCTATACCATCTTACCAAACTAAACACAGATCGACACGCCAAAGAGTAGTGTTTATAAACAAGAGGAGATCTTAGCTTCCGGAGGCGTGGTATATGTTAGTGGTAAATCTCATCTTCACCCTTGCACTTTCTCAGCTGGTTAATCTACAATTTATTGCTGTCCAACCATTTACTTTATTATCATATTCAGCTATTAGTTTTTATTTACTGCATCTCCCTCAAGTTGGGATAAAGGCTTATTACTATATTTCCAATTTTCTCTCTATCCCTAGAAAAAATGCAACATTCGAGTTGGCACATAGTTTAATAACAATAATGTTTGATAGCGTCTTGATAGGGCCAACATAGAGAAAATATAGTTTTATGAGAAGACCCAAAATAAGTTTTGTATTTTTTTGAATGGATTTAATCAAATCTCTTCATGATATGCCATTATTTATGAAAATTCCACTTCCCTTCTTATTTGCATTCTTTTCTTGTAGATTCTGTGATTACAGTAATAAATTATCTTATCTACAAGTGAAGGAATCTAAGCTCATTTAAACTTCGGACCATAAAATAACAAACTTAGAAGTATACATGCTTAGCGTTATTTGTACAAAAACATTGTGATAAACTCGTAATTCTCGCAAGGCTGCAAAGAACAAGAAACGGTCTTGACACTGATGTAGTTTAAATCACCTTCAGTATACTAAAAGGGTTCTTAGAAGTGTCTGTCACAATCACCTTATTCTCTGTTCGTCCTCTCTCATCTAAATGTGTCATCATGTGAGTTATCAAAGGAAGATTCAAGGACTAGGCTTTGGTGGCTGGTTTCTATTGGCCATCGTTGTAATTCTCTTGTGCCGCTTTGCATGGCAAATTGATAGAGTAACAAACAGGTGTAGGCATGGTTTTAAAAATCGTTTGACGTGTACGCCTCAGATGATCTACTTTGGTAATGGTTTTTTTGGCCTTTTTTATAAGCTTTATGGCAGTACTTCTCTTTATAGTATAAGTGTCTTTTTTATTTTAATGAACTAAAAATTAAAGCCCAATGACTCCAATGTGTACTTTTAATATTTTAAAACCCAAAAAACCAGTACTTTCTCCTCTCAAATTAAAAAGTGTGGTTTGACCCTTCCTCTTTCTCTAAGCAACCAGTTTTTTCACACCCTCTCAACCTGCCTCACGTTTTCACTCTTTCCTCTGTCAAGAACCACTGAACCAACGCCCTTAGTAATTTATGTAGTATATACATTTCTGCTTTAGGGCTTACACATCGCCTTGTTGAGGGAAAACTCCTCGAGGCTGAATTCCGCCTTTTAAGACCGTATAGGCTCTTGATTGTATGACAAGCATGTATACGACAACCACAAGTCTCCCAAGAACACAGCAAAATGAAGAAAATAAGACCCCTTAGATCTTGCATATAACAGAGAGTGGGTGTTAGCGTCATTCATATTCCTCTCTTCCATCGACTTCTTGTACATGGTTTTTGACCGATAAGTTGGTTCTCTTCCTAAGAAATTGTAACTTTTTTGTCGTCTATAGTTTATGAACATAAAAAAATTATAAATCCACATACTTAGTCATGCTATTCACGTTTAGAGTCAGGTGTTTATTTGGTTTTCCATCAAGTCCTGTATGGATAAAGTTGTCTGTGAGGATTAATTTGTCAGTATAGATTGGGAAAAAGTTTTTGTTTGGGAGGGTTTTGTCATAGATGGAATGCGCATTTTTTTAATTAGGAAGGGCAAGTTTGGAAAAAAGCATGGTTTAGGTGGATTCGATCCGATCCATTCATCCATCAGATGTTGGATTTGTCATCCGATTCAATCTGATTAACATTGGACATCCGATTCGATCCAAATCCAGTGGATGATTGGATCGGATCGTTCCATTCATTGGATGTTACTATTGGTTATCCATCGGATCGGATTGGATTCATCCAGTCTTTTGATCCAATACTCAACTAATTAGTCATATTTTCTTAAGTTATTAAAAGGCAATGCATATAAATATCAATTAAAAAACAAAAGCGTAAAATGTTAATAATTATTTGTAGTTATTAATTAACTGTTAGTTGGATGATCATTGGATTGGATCGGTTCGGTTTTATTGGATGTTGGACTCCCATCCACGAACCAACTGATCCGATTTGGATGTTGAAACTTTGGATCCGATTCGATCCAATTACAATTGGATTCACGACGATGGTCGTTCGGTTGATATTGGATCCGATGACTTCCTGCACACACTTAGTTTTCTGCATAAAGCTCCCCCTAGAAGTTTACCAAAATAAGCCACTTTCTATATCATAAATCCACTACCAAATAGTCATGTATAGCTGACCGAATGAGCTGCGAGTCCCATTAAGCTCATTAAGCTGCTAACAAACAGACGTCAATTATATATTACATAACTCTGATCACCTCAATCCCCCTAAGTTGATCATGTTAAAGTTAAGTGTTTTGATATAATCTTGCATGATATATATGATGCATGCGAGCCTCTTCCTTTTATCACTTCATCATTATTTTGAGGGGAAAGCATAGACTTGAGTCAGCACCTTTTGTAGTTCAGAAAGAGGCTTTTCTATTGTGTTTTAGACCTTAAATGCTATAACTTAAGATTTACTTCTACTCATAGCATACTAGGATGTTGTGTTGCGAACACTTGGCAACATTTGCAGCTATGATTAATTTGAAGTACACAAGTAGTAGCTTACATTAGACAAATGTAATTTTTGTTTGCCTTACTGTTATAAACCTTTTTTTGCATGTCTCATTTCATGTCGTATGATTGTGTCGTGTTATACCATTTTTTTATGTGTTGTATTATACCATAAGGTTTTGCTTTACTCCTTCCATTCCAAAATAAGTGTCCACATTTATATGTTAATTTGTACAAGAATAAGTGCCCACTATCAAAAGTAAGCGCATGTTTTCCAATTCTATCCTTAACTATGAGATCAAGAAATTTGTTACTTGCAATTATCACAAGTTTCTTTTGAACTAATTATATAATATACTCTGCCTTTCGGAACCCAAAAAGGAAGTCGGGAGCTTGGTTCCTCCTCCGAATGAAATTCAATGGGATACAATTGGCGACTTACCCATTCAGAAGAAAGTCTCCATTAAAAACAGCTCGGCAAGCCATATTTCGATCCAGACGTTTTCGGGATTTTAACATAAAATGGTGTCTTTTTTTTCTTGTGGACATTTATTTTGGGATGGGGGAGTATTTCATATGGATTTGTGCCATTTTGCACTCTATGCTATCATTTTCATATAGTATTACAATTTGTGCTAAAAAGTTGCAAAGTTGATATAAGTTTGAATTTAAAAAATTGTAGGTATGAATTTATAGAATAAAATTATGTACAAAACTTAGCTGCAGTGGTTCTCTTATTTGTTGTAAAATTGTGAAAATTTCTACTTACGAATATGAGAGCTAAAATGACTATATTGTCCACTTGCTACACATAGTTTTATCCCCCTTTACACATGTTTATTAATGTGTAATTTATTTGGTGACCTATTTGACCCACTAAGCTAGATGATAATGTAAACCGACCTAAGAGGACATGTTGGAAAAATATCATTATTGGAAAAAAGAAGTGGAATTGGAGCTGTTGAAACGCTACTCGAAGTTGCTTTTCAAAAATTTAGTTTTTTGCTAACCAATCAGAGCTAAAACAAGCTAGCTTATTGTTTACAAACTTGGTCTGAATGGTTGTTACATCACATCATTGGAACTTAATGGGTCATACTTGTGGTATCGTGTGATAGGGCATCATCCAGGTTAGGCACTAAGCTTACAAGGTCTTCATGGATACAACACTTCTACTTTGTAGAGATGAGGTTTGCGTACACCAAAGACCCTACCTTCGGTGGGATATACTGGGCTCGTTTGGTTTGGTTTGGTTTGGTTTAAGTGATGATCTGATCGAGGGATGAGGTAAGTTCCGTTTCTTGTTTATATGGAAAAGATCTATTTTCCCCATATATGTACAAATATATATATATATATATATATATATATATAGATATAGATATATATAAAAGATACTCAAAAGATTGTTTTACTTTTCTCTACACTTTAGGGCTCCTATTTCAGTATGAAGATGATTGGGCTTCATATCAAAGAATCATATGGAAAACTGACAGATGGATGGAAGAATTTGGCGTATGGAGTTAAAGGTACCGATGTAATCTAAGTTTCGTACCCCTTAACTGTCAATTAATTCATCTAATCTTGGTTCTCGAGGCATTCATTAGAGCATTATCGTGCGATTCATGCCGTAATGCAGATTATGCACGTTTCCATTAAAAACCCTCTTGATATGACTATATTTTCATTCTATATGCAGATTGATTCATTTGGGTATGAAGCTTCCTGTAGAAACCTAGAAATCAACACAGTAGGGAGAATCTGGCCCAATGCTTGTAGTTCAAATCCTCGGTGGTCAAAAAGTCAACAGAAGGTGTCTTTCTGTGAACCAAATACAATTGGTTGTATTTTCCGGTAAAATGGGGTGATAGATCAATAACTTTCAATCGTACTTCCACAGGAAGCGGGTGGTGTGGCTTCGGGTGAAACTTTCTCCCACTTCCTATGGTAGTAATTATTGAAGTTTAACGGCGATGGCAATTTCTGATGCCACATCAAGCAAACCCTAATGTAGTTATCTTCTTAAGAAGTAGAACCATGTTTTGGGGAAATGTTGGAATGGTGTTCTATAAAGTATTTAATACTGCAAATGAACTTGCATGCTTATCTTCCGATGAGGTTTCAACCCTTGATTTTCTGGGAGGTTGCGCTTTACCAGTTAGACCAAAAAGCACTTTTGCCGCATATGCAAAAGAAAATAAGCCTTGGGCTGGCTAAAGCTGTTCAGTTGGCATTTTATTAAGTTGAATATGGATTAAATTGTTTGTTTAGATTTAGTTGTCCGTGTAGATTGGATTAGATTGTTGTTTGACTATTTAAATAATAAAAATGACTATTTTATCATCAAATTGCATGTTTTTTGTACTTCATTTGGTCTTGTACCTTGTTGCACATTATATTCTACATGTTTTCGAGAATACTTGCAGAATTATTAAATATTATATTTAAAGAAAAAATAAAAATTTTTATTAGCAATCATGATTTTATGATACCTTTTGTTTTTTTTTTTTTTTTGGAAGAACAATATAATATAGGGAATTTGTTGAACAAAAATAAAAATACAAAATCTTGGTTTTCTTTATCTTAGAAATTATTAAAATTTCTCTAAAAAAATATAATAAAAGGATTTAACATTAATTAAATTATTTTATATCTCAATACAATTTTCAAAGAAAACTTTAAATAAAATAATAACAATTCAATTTTATTAATGAAACTAAAAAATTATATATACTTGAACCACATCGAATTCTAAAAAGCCAAAGTATTTCATATTTTACAAAAGAATATGATGAAAAATAACAGAAATAGTTAATTTTATTAAAAACCACACGCGCACATCGAGGAGATACTTGATTGGCCGGTAGTTGTAGTTCTTCCAAATTATCCCTGGACGGACCAAAATTTCCCACGTCATCAACTTCGGCCGTCAGATTTCCCTGAATCCAGAATTCCAAAATCGCCCTTCAAATGCCGCCTTAATTACAATCTCAGAACAGCCCCATCTGATACCCTTTAACGTCATATTTCATCATCGTCTTCTGTTTCTCTTTCCCCCAACAATGGCGACAGGTTTGATCCGTCGATCTCTGTCTAGGGTTCAATCTTCTCCGGCGGCGAAGCTCTTTCTCTCCCGAGCACATGCATCCGAGCCCCAGGCTCAACAAGTGGAGCCCATCAGCCGATCCACTCATAGCCTCAAGAACTTCCAAATCTACCGATGGAATCCCGACAATCCGGCCAAACCAGAACTTCGAAACTATCAGATCGACCTCAAGGAGTGCGGTCCTATGGTTCTCGACGCACTCATCAAGATCAAAAACGAGATTGATCCTACCTTGACGTTCCGTCGGTCTTGCCGTGAGGGAATCTGCGGCTCCTGTGCTATGAACATCGATGGATGTAATGGACTTGCTTGTTTGACGAAAATTTCGTCGGGAGATGCCACGATGATTACGCCTTTGCCACATATGTTTGTGATTAAGGATCTGGTGGTGGATATGACGAATTTTTATAATCAGTATAAGAGTATTGAGCCGTGGTTGAAGAGGAAGTCTCCGGCGCCGTCTGGTTGGGAAGGGAAAGAGGTTCCTCAGAGTAAGAAGGACAGGGAAAAGCTCGATGGGATGTATGAGTGCATATTGTGTGCTTGCTGTAGCACATCATGCCCTAGTTATTGGTGGAATCCTGAGTCTTACCTTGGCCCCGCCGCTCTTCTTCATGCCAATCGGTATAACCTTCGTCGTCACTATTCATATTTGTTGCACACAATTATCCGATTAATCTAATTAAAACTTGCATTCTAATCTGAATTAGATTGTTTTCGTTTATTACTCTTGAATTAGTTGTCTCTGCTGGAGATTCTCATCAGCATGCTTACATATGTGCCTTATTTGTTCTTCATACTTTTCAAATCTATTTTTCTTGTCTTATTGTTTCGATGGGATAATGGTACATGGATTTTCTTTGTAAAATTATGCGTACTTTCTGCATTGTGATCTGGGAAAACTGATGCATTTAATCAGTTAGACTTGGATCAGTGCTTTTTATTTCAGAAACCTCAATACTCAAAATCATCATGTTAAGTTTGTCAGTGATGAGAATCCCAGATTCTTTTGCTGTCCTTCTGCAAAAACAAACCCACCCTTCAAAAATTGATCCTGGGTACCCTGGTCATCGATATTGAATGAATTGTTAGCTTATAAAAACTAAAGCCTTCAACCGACAGTTTGGATGTAAAGATCCTTAAGAATGTTGAGATAGACAGTTCATTTCATGTTCATAGGATATGAATTTTGAGTCCCTTTACAAGTCTCGAGGAATGGGTTGCCAGGGATATTACCTATAGCTGATTTGGAGGTTAGCAATGGGCTTGAGGTGTTACAAATGGTGTCAAGAGTGGTGGCCTCTTAACATCTAATTGGTTTAGTCTAATGCATCTCCTTTGGATTATGTTTTACATTTATGTGCAAGTCTAATGAGGATGCCCCGAATTAAATGGGAGAGCTTGTAAGGCTCTATACAAGTCCTAGATAGTGAGCTCAAAGTAACTTCATTATAATACATAGCCAAAACCAAACCAAACCAAACCAAACTAAACCATACAGACCCAGTAATCCCACGCAGAGGTAGGATTTGGGGGTGCGATGTACAAAAATCTTGCCTCTACCCCAAAGGATAGAGAGGGTTGTCTATGTTAAAGACCCATGCTTGCAAAAAAACAAGAAGCGAGCAAGCCACAGGTAACAGTGTGTGCAAACAAGCATATAGAAAAAGACGGGAAGTAAAAGAAACAGGTTAGAGAACTGGAAAACATAAAGAGCAGTACAGACAACTAGAATTACAAGGAGAAAAATCTAAGACTAGAGTTCAGCAAACATTTCAAACAAATAGAAACAATAGCATACACAGCCAAAGATGTTTAGAATTTAGATATTCATATGGGATAAAAGCCTAATTGTCGACAATTCTCTCTAACGAGCATTGGCATCACATATTTGTTGATATAGCTTCTGTCATGATATCTTGCATTTCGTCTTCCATTGCCACATTCTACCTCCAGTTGAATTGAACATAACGAGTGCAACCATTGTTTTAATCAGGTGGATCATGGACAGTCGTGATGAATATACAAAGGAGCGTCTAGATGCTGTAAATGATGAATTCAAGTTGTATCGTTGCCATACAATCTTGAATTGTGCTCGTGCCTGCCCCAAGGGGTTGAACCCTGGAAAGCAAATCCAGAACATCAAGTCCCTCCAAAGCTAAGTGTTTTCTTTTTCCCTTCAAATTATAATCAACTTTAGAGGGATGCCGATTGCCATCCCTATTTCAGTATGGGATCATGTTTAAACATCTCTCTAAACTTTTTGCTGCTGATAAATAATTGGTGGACATGCTTGTATCTTGCCATTGCTTCTGTTTTGATGATCGGAGTCCTCTGATGATATCATTGTTATCAAATTTGGTTGTGAAAATCTATTCAATCTAAAATTTAGCTATTCCCTGTGGTTGTCCTGCCCTAGCAATTGCGGTGAAAGGTCTCTAAGGGGTGTAACACAGCTGGTTCCAGGGTGATATACTTGGACAAACTAACGAGGGTTCGTGTATGTGAACCGCAGTGTGTCACAATTCCTCTGGTGTGCGTTTGGTACGTGGACGGGACTGAACAGAATGAGAGTGAGGTAGGGGGTGAAAAAGTAATGGAAGGTTTTAAGGATATTAATTCAACATGGGTAGTTTAGTAATTTATCAATTTTGTATCGTCTCCTTGATTTGTGTTCCATCTATTTTGGTGGGAAAAAGGTGCATTTTTTTCTGGTGAGTCGGTCTTGTCCGCTCCTAGTCTTAGTCGCGCCAAACTCGTCTCATTCTGTTTGGCATACCAGACGTGCCCTTGGGTTCTTGTGGGCATTGGGCTCGAGTTAGCCATCTAGCGGATCATTGTGTATCTGATTTGTTAAACGCAGGATGCTTTTGAAGTTGGGCAGTGCGGTTGTCGGTAAAAAAAACCCTTTTGCCAACCATGATCATAAAAGCTTTTGACATATTTCATTGACCATTATTTTTTTTGTTTCACGAACATTGCAATTTAATTTGTCTAGGTTTTAAATTTAAGACGTATTCATTAATCTATTCTACCAATTTGGATATTTTAATAATTTTTAGACCGGTAACCAAAGAAGTAAATTCATGGTTCGTTAGTTATTCGTGGTTTGTATTCTATTTTCATTAATCTATTGAATTCTACCAATTCGAATTACACAACGTGGATTGAATGAAGTCAAGTCAGGGGTCGGAATTCAAATTTGTGAATCTTTGGGGGTCAAAAGTGTAATTATAAAAAGAGGTAAATTTTTGAAAGATTATAACGGTAATGGTAATGGTAATGGTCCAAACTTCCAATAATTTTTTTTTTCTACTAATTAAATTAATCTAAAGATTTACACTTTACCCAACTTTTGTCGGATATTCAAAGACCGACCGAGAACTTTAGCCACTAAGAATCCAAAAAAAATCTTATCTTTACCCTCCCTCCCACTACCACGTTTATTTCAATAAAAAATGTCATCCGATAAAATGAATGACGATAATAACTTTTATTAATAACAAGAAATACCCGATAAACATAGCATAGTGTTGAATTCTGTTTTTAATTAAAGAAAAAGACGATTATATATTTATTTTTGATAATCAATTTTTCTAGATTGAAGGTTTTACCTTTATTTTTTAAATCCATCTATCTATTTTATTTATAAATAATTAAAAATATTTTTTAAATCCGTCTATTTTATTTATAACTAATTAAAAGTCCCAAAATAGAAAAAAAAAACAAAAAAAAAAACAAATGAATCTGGTGAGAGAAACCAGTAACATTCATTTTCCCAAGATTCATTTCCGCTTCTTGTCCTTATCTCAAAAACCACCCACACTGCTTTCAACTTATTTTCCACGTGTCTCCATCTAATTGGCTGTCTCTTTTGCCACCACCCCATTGCTTTATTTTCCCGCACCCCTTATAAATCCCACCACACCTCAATCCACTATAAAAACAAGCCAACTTTCTATTTCCACTCCAAACTCGATCACCGGAAACGAATTCACTACCAAATCTCTCTGTTTTTCCGGTGATGGGATCATGGAATTCGTCGGAGATGGAGGTTTTATCGAGTGTATTGGGATGGATTGCGTTTTGTGCTTGGTCGATCAGCTTCTATCCACAAGTTATATTGAATTTCAAAAGAAAAAGGTAAGTTCACTGATGATTACTACTTCTTTTTTTGTTGTCAACATTAGGTTTGATTGATATTGAACTCATTTAACTTATGTCAATTTGTTCTCCAACTGTTTACGCTGCTGCGTGCTGAATTTTTCGGATTCGGGATTGGAACCTGCAGTGTGGTAGGGCTGAATTTCGATTTCGTGGTGCTGAATCTGACAAAGCACTCCTCTTATCTGATATATAATGCCTCTGTCTTCTTTAGCTCGGCACTTCAACGTCAGTATCGCCAGAAATATGGCTCCGATGAGGTATCTATATGAATCCCTTTGTATTTCTATACACCAATGATTAATAGCAAGGTCATGATAGCTCATCATTAAAAGAAATTATTCGACGTGAATTTATGCAATTTTAACGATGTGTATGCTTATTGTAATGTTAGTGATTTGTAATCACTAACCAAATTATGCTAATTGGTTAGTTAGCTGGCAAATAGTTTTAGTACTCTACAAATGTAATAGTTAGTCTTTGAATCAACGCAAGCAGTACAGAAATCTCATTTCCAATCTCTGTGTTTGCAACCAACTTTATGAGTTGTAATATAATTTGAATATTGAAGCAAAAACTCTAGATAGATGGATCATGTTAGATGAGTTAGATGGTTGTTGATGTATGTTTGCCTACTTGCATATGCACAGATGATACCTGTAGCAGCAAATGATGTTGCTTTCTCCATTCATGCGGTTGTGCTAACTGCGTTTACCTTATTTCAGATAGCCATCTATGATGTGAGTATCATTAAAATTTCTTAATGTCTTGTACCCGATCAATATTTAATATGTCTGATTTGAAGTGTTGATGAATACTCAAGATGGTTCCATCAACTATTGCGTGATCATATCTTCAAATAGCTTAAAAGGACCCCATTCCCTATTGACCATTATTATCATTTTGCAGCGAGGGGGTCAGAAGGTCTCCAGGACTAGTATGTCAATAGTCTCAGTAGCCTGGTTGACCGTCATTGTCTGTGTGTTCATAGCTATACCTAAGCATTCCTGGCTTTGGTTGGCCTCCTGCTTTAGGTAAGATCCCTTTTTAGATTGTTTGCCTTTCAATTCCATACATCATATATTCTCCTCATTTCTCATTTCATTCTAGTTATCATCAAGCCTAATTGAACAAAATTTGGTGGGAATCGATGTCAAGTAGCTCAGTGTGTTGAACTATCTCAGTTGTGGAAATTTGTTAAGCCAATAATGTGATTGCATATCTTTCATGTGTATGTACATCTGTGTGTAAACAACGTTGTATGCACACATCTACTATCAGCTAATGTGATTTTGTTGGAATTTCATCAACACGTGTTTCTTTATCACATGGTATTCATCACTCATTCCCTTTTCAAGCTGTCGGAGATCTAAACTTTTATTCAACTTGTCAAATACAGCATATTGCAGGTTATCATGACAGTAATCAAGTACATACCCCAAGTAAGGAGTGTCTCGTATTTTAAATATCTTATAACTGTGGTTGTTAATTCTATGATTCTTGTCATTTCAATAAAGATGGGTTTGAGCTTTATATTATTACTTGGCATGAGCTCTAAACCAAACCAAATCAGACGAACCTAGTATACCCACCTGTCTAGTTTAGGGTAAGTTGCAAGCGGGATCTTTGCCACAAAGAGTAGGCAGTGAAGACCCTAGGCTTGTGGAATGTGTGGCAAAGATAGAAAGACGGATATGATAATGATTTGGAAAGCCGGTTAAGAGTAAGCAATAACACACAAACAGAAGCATATACAAGAAAAGCATAACCAATTAAAAGAACTATACACCCCTAGTCGAACTTATTAACCTCATATCTCCCACCCACCCTCTACCTCTCCACCTCCCATCTACTCTTAACTAGGAACTTGGCATGAGTTTTGCTGGTTTATAATTTATTGAAGAACCTTTTCTTTGCTTACTGTAATTTATGGCTTGAGATTGTTTACTTCAGCCAAGTTCCTAGTGCATAATAAAGTGACAACCAAGTAATTTGTATGTATTCAGGCAGTTATGAACTTCCGTAGGAAGAGCACAATTGGATTTAGCATTGGCAACATATTGCTTGATCTACTTGGAGGATTAACAAATTATGGGCAAATGGCTGTCCAATCTATAGATCAACGTATGTTTTTGTTTAAAGCAAATTCACAGTCAAAAGATGTTGGCACAATCTGAGACCTAACATATGCTTCCTTATACTTGTATTTATCAGATTCGTGGGTGAACTTCTATGGGAATATAGGCAAGACATTGCTTTCTTTGGTACGTGACTTTCTCTTCAATATTAATTCAATAAATCATGTCATAAGTATCAACTTGAACCATGAGACAAGAAGGGATTATATTTTTCAAAATCCCCATAAACCACACCCAAACCAAGCCAAACATACCCACCATATCCCACTGGAAACCACAAGGATTGTGGCGTAGTGGTTGAAGCCCTGGGGGATGTGGTGGAATATCCTATTTGGTCAGGGTTCAATTCCAGTCATACACAACAGTTATAGCCAACGAGTTTATCAGGGTTGATTTCTTACGGTCACAATTTGCCATGATTAGTCTGGGCATGGCCTAGGACACCCTTCCAAAAAAAATCCACTGGAGATGGGGTCTAGGGGGTAGGATATGCGCACACATTTCCTCTAGAGGCTGTTTCCGTGAGGATCTACGTCTTGCAAGAAGTGAAAAGTCAGGTGAAACATAAATTTTGTCGGAATTCATTCAAGATTTGAAGACTTCAAAAAGAAACAGGGGAGCATGAGACAGATGGAAAAATATCAGAAGCATGTGTGCAAACAAACATCAAGAACAGTAAACAGTAAAGGCAGGGCGAATGCAAGAGAAGGAAATAGGTTAAACAAGCAAAAAAACACTAAACCACTAAAAATGTAATACTTAAAGCTACTAAGACAAGAAACCACACCAAAGGGAGTGAAATTCTTTCCATCTGCCTATTGCATGTTGGAATCTGCGATCAGCTATAATTAGACCATATCTTCTCAATATATGTTTAAATCTTGCTTCTCTCCTCAAGGACTCTTTTAGAGATTAATATAATGGGGTTCCACATATTCTGCCAAGGTTTGATACTGCAAGGACTCCACACTCTGGGACAATATGAACCCGTCTAGCCCTCTCTTGACACTCTGGGACAATTTGTGCCTGTTTGACCTCCGTTGGAGGGACGTGTCGGTGTTGGAGTACCACATCGGCTAGAGTTGGAACCATTTTTTCTCAATATATGTTGGAGCCTCCCTTAAAAGGGCTCTTTTAGAGAATAATCTAATGGGATTCCACATATTCTCACAGCGCATACCTCTAAATTGGCAACTAGGTGTGAGATTTAAACTCATAACCTATAGTTTAGTCCAATATAAATTCTTAGCCACTTTAGAAGGGCGTCCTTTCTTTTGATACATATTGCTTACTCTTAACATGCAACGACTGTGCTACCCCCCTGCTGTATGTAGGTGTCTATCTTCTTCGACCTCCTGTTCATCTTGCAACATTATGTGCTCTACCCAGCCAAGACGACAGTGAAACCTCCTCCAAGTCCGGACTTGGTAAGTCAGGAACCACTTGTTATATCTTCAGAACATGCATGAAGTCTTGTTTCATGTCTGCTAAAATTTGCAGCTTTCTCTTGATTTTGTTTAAAACCCCGACCTGCGATTCTGTTTACAACTTGTGTTTCCGAACGTGTACATATGTCTGATGGTTCTTACTTTCGATGGTTGCAACTTGTTCTTTGTGTTAAATTCCCACGTCAACTAGATTTGGATCATTTCTCCTCCATATCTGCTGGAACCTATTCTAATAAGATTCAACATATTCTCACATGGTATCAGTGCGGTCTACCACCCCAGTGACTTGATATTTGGGAACCATCTGTGCCTGTCTAGTCTCTGTTGAAGAGGGCGTGTTAGAGTCCTATACTGGCTATACTCGGACCGTTTCTTCTAGACATATATTGGAACTTCCACTTTTATCTGTAAAGAGCTCTTTTGAAACTAGTCTAATGTTTTCAGATCTTTTAGGGTTGCATGTTGTTTATTTGCGATATGGATGTCTTTGTTAAGCAAATCTATGCTATTGGGAGGACCCACCAATCTGTAGATATAAATATATTCAACATTTGGTAGATAGATTTTACAGAGTTAAGTAAATCTATAATCACATATATTTGAATTTAGAAATTTTATTTATATATGAGGAATCTGAATTAACCAAAGGGAAGCATGGTGTAGAGATGCACAGGGCGTGGGCCTTTCAAGCCCTGAGCAAAGAAAAGGTCGATTTCAGTGATAAAAAAACCGTAGACCTTTTAAGGCCCAAGCCGGGCTTTGGAGTTGAACAAGGTCCAGATCGGGCTTTTTCTGGCCAGGCCTTTTTGGGCTTACCTTGTTTTTTCAGGTTCGACTTTTTTCGGTCGGGCCTACCCCCAAAGTTTCCGTTAGATCAGGGATCCGGACCAGGCTTCGGGCTGGGCTTGTGCGTTTTTGTGCGGTAGATAAAGACAAGGAATATAAAAATCAACCTTGGTTCATATGTATTATGCATTTGCAACAGCTACCATAAAATAAAGATTTTGATTTTATTCATTTTTAAAAGAATTTTCAACAGCTATGCTAAAATAAGGATTTTGGAGGTTTAGAATTTCTTTTACCCCGATAGTCATGTATGCTAAAATAGAGAAAAGAAGAAATAGTGTGAAAATCTCCAACTTTAAGAAAAAACCATAGCATAATTGTTAAGAAAGAAAAATATTATTTAAATTGTTTTCGGTGATTGTATTGTATTGTTACTTAAATACATCTGATTTTTCTTTATCTTTAATGTTTAATGTGACATTGAAGGGTTACATAATATTGAAATCTAAAAAGTAATGCAATTTTGTTGGAGAAAAGAATAGATTATATGTTTTTTGGAAGGTTGGATCAGCACACAAAATAAAGTGGATGATGAAGTACAAAGATAGGGTCATCTTGGCCATTACGCACACTTTGACCAAAATGAACCATCTTGCGTACCAATTTAACCAATCGTCTTCAACAATACAACCATCTTTCATCCTTTCAATTTAACTACAAATTTTCTTCCATTTTTATCATTTCTATATCTATACACCAACACCAACAACAACAACAACAACAACAACAACAACAACAACAACAATGAAACGAGAAGGTCGTCAACATGGTTTTGTTGGTTGCTACTATGTCCCTCCACCTAATTTATGTCGCCGTAAAATGGTGGATCCCGCCACGGCCAGGGGATGCTTCGTCAAGGTGCCAAACAAGCCTACAAACCTGTCCAAGTTCACCGGCAGATGTCGTCATCCCTATACAGGCTGCAAATGTTGTCATATCACCCCAGCTTCTAAGTCCAAAGACAAGATCAAAGGCACCATGAAACTCCGCTCAATAGACTCCGGAAACAACTTGACCAAATACTATTCTGGGACTTCGGTCACCGGAGTTTTGGCTTTTTTGGCCCATGAAAATGGTTATAATGATAATGATGATGACGATGACTATGATTACCAAGGTACACTAGAAGAAAATTACGATTATGGTTATAGTTATGGTCATGCCGATCATGATCATGATCATCATGATGAGCATCATGACATTGACCTTAGGGTTGGATTTGGGATTGAGGAGCATGAGAATGATGTTGATATGGGTGAAATTGATGTGGATGATGATGATATGAGTTTTTGTGATGTGGGGTTATGTTGGGGACATGGTGATGATGATGATGATGATGGATGGTATTTGGTGGGTGGACAAATGGAATAAACTTCAATTCTTTTGAGCAAATTCATCAAATCATCATCATAATTATAGTTATAATTATAATTATAATTATATTTATGAATGATAGATTCTGGGTTTGATTTAAATTGTTGTAATACTTTGTTAATTATGTATTACTTTACGTAAAATCCCTAATTAATTGTTAATTGTGTATTATTCCATATGAAGTTTGCTCAGTTCTTGTTTTCCACGTATCTCCCTCTTCAAATCCACCTACAAACATGCCTAATTAATTTCTTCTTCATTTTATGGATTCTTTTCTATTTTCAGGATAAACGGAACCTATAATATGATGATACAACTAGGATTGTACATAGGTTGGGTTAGTCGGGTTGAAGCATTTGAACCACCCAATTCAACATTTGCGGCTTGGAAAAATCTCAACTCAATCAAAACCGTAGAGGTTGGGTTGGGTTATGTTGATTGGATTGAAACTTTGGTACATTATTTTACAATCTAACTAAGCGTTTGTGTTTAAACGAAGTAAAATAAAAATGAAAACATAGAAAAAAGGTTAACAAACTCAAAAACAAGTGGTCTAATGTTTAATATACATATATTAATCAAAAAATTAACAATCACATTAAATTATAGTATAGAAAGGCGTCGGATTCATCGGGTTGGGTTAGTTTCAAATTACCCGAACCTAATTACAACCTAATAGATGTGGTTTGGCCTGCTTTTGTTCTACCATGTGTCAAGTTATGGATTATCTCGCGCTAAGTTTTTTCTGGGTTTTTCCAGGTTGGGTTGGTTGGATTGGTTGGGTTGATCCTTTTTTTTAGCACACCTAGATACAACTACTGAGGTTCCTCGTGGCCCCTTTGAACCAACTTATAGGTCAGTTCAAATATCCGTATGGCTACTAGGGTTTTTCAGGGCCCCCAGGATTAGTCAGGATGTGTGCAAAATAGAGATGCCCAAAAAAGGTCCAAGCCTGAAATAACCTGAACCTAATGAGTTTGAAGTCAGGCCAAAATATTGGGAGGCCGGCCTAGAAAGTCCAGTCGATTAAACCCAATTAAGCCCGGGCTGAAAAGTCCAGTCGAGCCATTTTTCTATATTAAAGCCTGGCCAGCCCGGGACTAAGAAAGTACAGGCCATTTAGATCTTGTGCGTCTAACGTAGATTGGGTCGAACACCAACGGTTAAAAGAAAGTTAAGGTTGTTTTCAACATACAACAAATTATGCTTTCATGACTAGAAGGCCTGGCAATGGCAAACATCTCTTAAATGGAAATGCTGTCTTAGACATGGGACCAGCAAAATTATGCACAAATTGATTGATTCTCAACTAGAAGTTAAATGGCCAAAATACCCTATGTGCCAATCTTGATCAATGCTGAATGTTTGGAGACACATTCTCATGGTTTATCCTTCTTGTTAATGAAGAGAGAGGATGACTGCTCGGGTTTTGATCATTATTTTTCCAAAGTCTTCTTGAAGATTTATTGATCGAAAACGGTTCTGATATTGTTGAGGGTGTTTGCGACTTTGGAAACGCTTGTGGAGCCTGCAAAAGAAACACAACTATGTGAACCTAACTCGAATATAATTCTTTCAAAATGGAGAAGCAAAAGTTAAAATCTCAAACAATATATATATACATATTCAGCTCTGACGTTTTATCCAGTTTATTGATTTCAACGTTAATTATATTAGTAAAACGTTCGGTAGATTTGATATCCCAACAAATTTTCAAATAAATTTTATATGAAATGATAATACATTCAAGAGTAAAGTCGCTGTTTTTGTTCTCAGGGACGAAAACAGCAACGAATTGCAAACCATGTGGACGAAAACCGCAATTTTAAAACCACAAGGACAAAAAGTCATAGTTTTTAACAAACCAAAAGGAACGAAACACATAATTTACCCTACATTCAATTTCATTGATGATTGATGATACTATAAGAAAAGCATTTTATTTCAAAGAGTGCTCCAAATTTGGAATTTTTTATCCTTTCTCTCCTACTTTCTCCATTTTGGAGGTTCTATCGGACTCCAAAATCTTTATTTTGGAGAATCTATTAGAGATGGTTATAAGGTGTACAAGAAGAGAAATCTGCAGATAACCCTTTTAATACCTTCTTTATCGGACTCCTCGGTGTTTCGAATGTGTTATAGAAGCTAGGTAGTGGCCGAGCCTTAAAGCAAAAGCTTTGCCGCAGTCTTCTGAATTCGGTCTCTGCTTTCTCCTGCAACAGATACTTGCCATGTTCACTGGGACGCAAAAAATGATCAAAAACTACAAAATACATGTTCATCTGAGACGGATTATAACCTTCAAAGTTGTTTGCAGCTGCACTTTTTGTGCTTCTTTTGCATTAAATTTTTCTTCAAGCTTCTGAAAAATGATCAAATATGAAATGCAGATTAAGAAATACGAATTCCTGTTAAGTTAAAAGGGATCCAGATTAAGGAAATGAACATAAATTCTTGCCTGTTTTCTTCGTGCAGCTCGCTCTTCTGTTCTCAAGGTGAAAGGTGATGATACAGTTGGAGACTGCATTTTGTTTCTATAAGCACTCAGGGACTTGGAACTATTGGCACACAAGAAAGGAAAATAGAAATCAGAGATCTTTATGAGGTAAGAAATGAAAATGTTGATTCATCCTTTTTCATTACAACAACTGTTTCAACCTAAATTGTATAAGCCTTAGGGGTGGTCATTGGCGGTACCTGGGTTACTGCCAGAGCCCAGTCTCATAGATGGTCAAAGGTTCAAACCTCACCATAGGTAAAGAGTGTGCTCGAGTTTTGTCGTATATAAATATTATATATTTTATAGAAAAAGGGTACTGGACCAGTTTGTTACTTTAGGATTTGGAGTCTTAGTATCTACATGGTGGCCTGGCCTCAAGATTCAATGGTTTGGATTTATGAATCTCCTGGGAATATGATTCTGATATTCTATTTAGGATCCGATGTATGTCGAGAATCTTATCTCTCGTCGGTCAAGAGTGAGAACTATAGGCTCGTTAGAAGCCATAGATAAGTCCTATTAATAACTTCCCATCATGGTTTTGGTTCACATAAATTATTGGACAATTTGCTATTCGGGCTTGGGGAAAATCATCTCCAAGACTCTAATAGGACAGTTTACTACGTAAGAAGGGATGTTGTTTACCAACACACTTTGACCTACAAATATGCTGACTCAGTAAGGAAGGGGTTGCTTTCAGACTCGGTCAGTGCTTACCCGGTCACTTGGTAAACAACAATTTTCAGTCAGGGTTAATGCTTTAGATGACTTTCAAACTATCGGGTTAATGTTCAACTTGGCTTGCAAATCTAAGCATCACAAGTTTTCACCAATGTCTAAAACGTGATTCTTGGAACTTACACAGCCGAGAAAATGTGCCACTTTTGCCCAGGCGTTTTGCTTCCAACAGCTGAAGGATGAACAGGCGTTTCCATCCTTTAAGATGCATAAAGAAGAGGAAGGTTAATACTTTTAGGAGAATTCCGTTCTAAAACAATAGACACCATTAGTCGATTTCTTTTACCAAATAATTTGAATCATTTACCTTCTTTTTGATGAAGGGGTTGCCAAAGGTTGCTTATTGACCCCATTTGTAACCTGCAGCACCAAATTCACATAAGCTTAAGTTGTATAAAAAGCTGTCACAACAACTTAATTCACAAATACCACCTTGGAAGGAGTTGTTGAAGGTGTCGCACAGCGTTTGGGTGTGGAATGAGCAGTAGGAGCAGGTTTTGTACTTTCAATTTTTCGAACAGCTGGAGGGTTTACTTTGCATGATTCTCTAACAGAACCAGAATTCATTAAGGTGTACAAAGATCTAGGGGCCGATCTCTTTTTATCAATGGGGTCTATTGCAGTGGAGTTTTTAGTTCTTGGAGTGACCATATTTTCTTTCCTGGGATGCATAGAAGCTACATATTTTGCTGGTGAAGGTGGGATTCTAGACTGTTTCCTGCCATTTGATGATGACCTGAAAGAAGGTGTAGCTGGTTTCCTCCTGATCCTTGGTTGTAAAACCTCCTGGTCTGTGTTCAACTTTGACTGCAATAGAATCAAAAAACTTCAGTTTACCAACTTATCTCATGAATTAGAGAGAGAGAGAGAGAGAGTGTGTGTGTGTGTGTGCGTGTGTGTGTGTGTGTGTTGGGCGGGTTTAGGTGGCTTATTGATCTTAATGACCTTCTCACAAACTAAATTTAAGAATCTAACCCTCAGGTATTTCTAAGTTTTTACAGGAGCAAACCATTTTGAACCGGACTAATTTAGAAGGTCATGCTCTAATTGGCAACTTATTTAAGATAGTTTATCCAAAGGACCGGGAGGTTATAACTTATAAAAGGGAAGTATTCACCTTCAACAAAGGTCTATCCATTTGAGATGTTCTACTATCCTCTGAAACAGAAACATGGTCTTCAAGATTCTCAGTATTCTTTAATAATTCTTCATTCCTCAGATCTGCAGCTGCTACAATCTTGTCGGTTTCCAATTTAACCAAATTTACAACTGAACCCTGTTCATTAGCATCAATTGGCTTACTAGCATTCTGGGTTATGATCTGCTGTTCTTCATTGACACCCATCTTGGAATTCATCACAGTTGTTTCTGAAGAATGGGTGTTTGATATTCCTTTCGGTTCTAAATCATGAGCAGCATGCTTTGTACCACAAACTCTTTCTTCAACTTGAGATTTGGGGCTGCTGGCCGTGGCCGTTTCTTGCTCAAGCAACGCGGCAGCTGCCGCCGCCTTTTGGGCTGCAACTCTCTTGTAATGAGCTTCAAAGAAAGCTTTCTTCTGGGCAACAGATCCAGGCTGAGCATAACTCTTGGCTTCTTCGACATATCGCTTATGAGAAAAGGCTGACCATTTCTCCCAAGCTAATGACTCAGAAGTGAACCTCCCAAAAGACACAGAATCTCCAAGAGCGTGAACATGATTCCCCTGCAAATGGAGAGCAAAAAAATGGTAATCAATTAAACCCAAAACCACAAATTTCGTGATCTCAGACACGCATTCAAATATAAAGACTCCAACATTCCACAATCAAAAACCAATTGATCTCGTTTAAGCATTTCGTGGAACATTTTATAGTCAACAACTAGAAATCATAATAATGAATGAATTTGTCGAGACTTACATGATTGTTGGTCTCATTAGGTATAGGAGAAGCAAAAGATAAAGAACTCACGAGACACGTCGATTCTCCCATGTCAAAGGAAGACGAAACACAGAGAAGAAAACAAAGCCAGAAGTAAAAGTAGATGGAGAGAGAAGGGAAATCTTGAATTACAAATTACAAACAGCCGATTACTCAAAATTTGAAATTCAAAATGAAAAAGGCGTACGTTATAGGAAAGTAGGCTCTGGGGTTCCTATCCTCCTTTTGCGATTGGGTCCTACTCCTATTTGTTTGAAAAATGGAGTAAACAATCATTCATCTCTGTAACGTTCATCTGTTTGAATAAGTTATTTGTCGCTATCCACCAATTTTCTTTCAAGGATAAAAGAAATTCAATAACAGAAAAAGTCAAATATAAGAAAATTTGAGAACCATCCAACCGACGGAAACAAAATCATATAATTATTTATACACTCGCTCGCTCTCTACTTATACTTACTTATAACATAAAAGTCTTAAAACTAATTTTAACTTTTAATTAATAGTTTCACTTATCACAAATGCGTTAAACAACTTCTAATTGTATGCTGTTATTGTTTTCATTATAAATCACTCAAAATAGTTGATGTATGAAAATTGGGATTTGAATGATTAGATTAGACTAAACAAAATTTATTGATTAAAAATTCTTTTAACTAAACTTTCAAAACACTTTGGCCATAATCAATAAACCTGACAATTTTATATGCAAATGTTTAGAATTAGTCTTAAATTAAAAGACAATATGTTCAATATATACCTATTTGTTGATTTTCTTCTCACACAAATCAATATTAAAACTTATTTCTTGACTTGCATTCCACTTTAAAAAGTTACCAGATCAATATCATTAATTAACTTTAACAATGACAATATATAAAATTACAACCCACAATAAACTAAAATACGCAAGAAAAACCATTAAAAAGTTTCAGTTTTTACGACTATAATCCCAATTTTACAGATGTAAAAAACACAAAAAGAATCTTGAATCGTGATTTTTTAATCTCTTCATACAATTTCGACATCTCGTTCGTCTTCTTGCCTAACCCCGTGATTACTCGTTTTGTTTTTAAACGATCTTTGTGTACTAAAAATCCGACCAAATGTGCTTTTCGATCTCGGAACAGTTTGAGGTCCTCTGTTGCTACCAATACTCCTCCTATCAAGTTCTTCAGATATCGCTTTCATGATGTTCTCGAATCGTCTTCTATATGTCGGGTACCTCGATATAGACTTTGTGATCCCTTGAAGCCTTCATTCATCACAACCACCGTCAAGATTCAGAAAAATGGAAAAAAGAAATATTGATAGATAATGTGAGAATATAAGAAGATTTTAAACATGTATCAAGTAGAAACGGTCCAATTCTAAGTAGATGTGGGACTCTTGACACGGGGAGATTGACGTAAATAGACATTTTGGCCAAGTGAATTCCACACTCTCTAAAAATTCACCACCTCTGCAACTTGTGGAGGGGCCAAAAAATAAACTAAAAAATAAATTCATTGGGGTTCGACAAGTGGCACTTAAGCAACTTGAGAAATGATTTAGAGTAAATTACATATTTGGTCCCTATAGTTAGCAAGTTGCTGAAGTAAACTACAGATTTGGTCCCTGTAGCTAGCAAGTTGCTAAAGTGCTATTTGTTGAACCCCCTCTGAATTTCCTTTTTCTTTGGCCCCGAGGTAGTGATTTTTTAAGTGTTGGGGAGGAATGGCTAAAAGATGAATTCACTCGGCCAAAATGGTTATTTACGTCAGTTTCCCCTTAACACGCCCCCTCCAACGGAGGCAGACAGACATAAAGCCTAAAGTGTCAAGAGGGGGCGTACAAGTACAGGTCGGCCCAAAGTGGTAGACCTTGCCACTGAAAATATGTGGAGCCCTATCATACAACTCTTCGAAAAATCCCTTTGAGGAGAGAGAACATATATTTACGAGAAATGATTTAGGTCTAATCGAGTTAGGACTCTAAAAGATAAAATGGCCAAAAGAGGTCATTACCTTCGAGCTAGTGCATCAAGTTCGGCCCGTCTAAGCTCAGACTCGGGTGGTGGACCGATGTTCGAGTTTTTCAACTTCTGGCCATCACCACTCAACAAAACTAACTTGCCCAAATAGTCCTCTTCGGATTCCGTCAGATTTTGCGCTTTAATCTGATCCTTCATCACCAAAAGCGGATTTAAGAACCAATCGTAGAAGGCATCTTTCGGTCTGTTTGCACTGGTTATCTCCGTAGCATTGTCCGCTGGTGTAAAAATGACCAAAAATTAGACCGAAAACCAAGTTTTTTTATTAAAAAAGCGAAAGAATTTTATGGAGACAAAGGTTTCGGGTACTTACACAGTATTATACCGGAACTATTGGCTTTCCCAGAGCGTAGAAGTGCCAGATAAAGACAATAAGCCGGTAGGCCGATGGTTATCACTCTCACGCTATCCTTGACAGAAATCACATCTGCAATCTCTTGTGCAGTTATAAGTCCTTCCAGAACCAGGAATTCACCTTGCCGACGGCATTCTTGGAAGAAGCTATCGAGCAACTACACAAGTCGTGTATCAAGTCCGTATTAGCATCGTGGAGCAGATAAACCAAACCAGATGAACTCATTATATCCCGCTCGAAAGTAGGGTCTGAGGGTGGGATATACGCAGACATGTCCTCTACCCCTAAAGGGTATATTCTTTGATTACTAAAGTTATATATATAGGGGTGAAATCGGGAGAGGACCTCGAAGAAAAAAACCAAAGAACCCCAAAAATACAAATGAAAAAATATATCAAAATGGATGTCAAATTAAAGATAAAGTGATCATTTTTCTTTGGTGTAATTTGTTTCTATCCAATTTTTGTAGTTATTCGTTGATTTTCAATTTAAAATTAGGGGTAGATATTTTGTTTTTGAAGAAGTGGTTATAACCACATCTATTGGATCATCTCAATCAACGGTTTGGATGGGTTCTTTTAGGGTTCTCTCGGGATCTTTTTCCATATATATATATATATATATATATATATGTACATATGAAAATCTTGACCCGGGTTTGGATGTAATCCTAGTAAAGCCTCGAATTCTAACTCAAATGGGAAATCCTCAGTCGTTTCTAAAGCCCTACCTCAAAGATTTTCCTCACTACTTTAGGAGCAGAACTCCGGTTTAAAATCGAGATTGTATGCCAAACTTAGTCTTTCCTGCTTTTACTGTATGTCAGTCTTAGTTTTCTCTGCTTTTTACTGTATGTCAGTCTTAGTTTTCCCTGCTTTTACTGTATGACAAGTCTTGGTTTTTCCTGCTTTTATTGTATATCACACACACGTAGTTTTTATCCCATCGTAGTAGTTGTCACTAGAATGCTTTGTGTTCCATGTTTGTTTCATCTGTGTGGGATATACCATTACCGGGTTCGTTTGTTTCTGGTTTTTATTTATTTATCCGTTCAATTCAAAGTTTCAAAAGGATTGCATTTGCAGTGAACCCTACATATACTCCATCTATGTTAGGAAAAAAGAAGTTTGAGTATCTAACAAACGAACGAACCAACCTCCAATGGCTTCAATTCAATCATGGGTACCCTGAGAGATCCGGACCGAGATGGTGCATGTTTTAAGGAACCCCCCCTTGAGAAAGAACTTGAAGCAGACAATCCAGGGTTACGTCGATATCTAGGCCTGTAAAATAAAAAACGTTAGCCGGACCTTTTATATAAGTTAGCACAAAACCAAAAGTAACGCAAACTATTACTTTGGAAAGCAAGATCCCTCGGGCATATCAAGAACGTCATTGCTGTATTCATCATAGATCGACACTGCAGCCACAACATAGCAAAGCCCGAGATAGAAAGATGATTCCTGTTCCCATGCACTCGAAGTTAGCTAGCTAGCTATTAAACCAATCCAAGAAAGCTAAAAAGGTGCAGTTTTGACTTTTGAGGTAAAGAACCGTAAAGAATTTTGTCATAGTCAGGGTGCGTTTGGTACACAGACGAGACGGGACTGGACGTGACATGACTGGACAGGCTGAATAGAGATGCACAAGGCCCAGGCTTTTTCGAGCCTCGATCCGGAACTTCCAAGCCCGTTTTCAGCAAGCCGAAAAAGGCTCGGGCTTTCTTAGGCCCGGTCCAGGCTTTGGGTTGAAAAGGTCCGATTGGGCTTTTCCAGGTCGGGCTTTTTTTAGACCCGGGCCTGCCCCAAAATTTCAGTTTGATCAGTCTTTGAGGCCTGACCCAGGCTGGGCTTTGAGCTCACTAGGTCCGGGAGTTTTCAGGCCGGGCTCGCGCTTGGGCTTTTTTGTGCATCTCTAGGCGAGGGTGAGGTGAAAGAAATATGCAAGGTTTAAGGTTTCAATTTGACAGGGATATTTTAGTAATTTACCAATCTTGTCTCCCAGATTTTTGCTCCACCTATTTGGTGGGACCAAAAAAATGTATTTTCATGGGACAACAAGTTTTTGTCCTTAACCTGTCCGCGTACCAACAATAAACCAAACCAAACCAACAATCCCGGTATATCCCACCCGGCGGTGGGGTCACCGTGGGGGGGGGGGGGTTAAGATGTACGTAGATCTGACCTGATAGACGATTACAGCTGCATATAGACCTAGGAAGATACCGGAGACCATGGAGCCTAACACAGCTCCGGCAACCGCCAATGGCCATAATAAGATGGCTAGACCTGCAAATGGCACACAAATGGTCTCCAAGAATGGACCTTCTCGACCCACACAGTCTTGAAACAAACGGTGCCACCCCTTGAACAACATATACGGGCTTTTCACCGCGGCTATGACCGAGATCATCGGAAAGTCAACCACAACTCCTAATAACCCCAAGAGAATGGCCACAGGAAGATAAACGATCCTGTAAAAACAAATTATTCTATTAATCAACAAAACAAACAAGTTTTAGCTTCTGAAATCCACGTAAGTTAGAGTTGGAGAACTTTTTGATGGATCAATGAGATATGAAAAACGGGGAGGAAAGAAGCCCAATTTAAAGGGGTCATAACTTTTAACCCCGTTGGGAGTTATAGGAGTTATGAGGCCCAGAATATATGCACGGAAAGCTCGCAATGGCCAGACATCAGACCAACGGGCCCATGGCAGTTCGGCCCAACTTTTGGCCTAAATCCTTCATTTGGTTCCCTGAATCCAACTTCAAAGATTTTTTTCGTGATTTTTTGTTTTTATTTGTGTGTGTTCTTGTTTCCGTTCTGCGTTAGTATTCCCCGACTGGGACTTTGTGCAATGGTCGAAACACTAATAACATGGATTAAAATGATATATAGGTTTCAAGAATGAAATTTTATCAAACCTAATCTCGATTTTACCCTCCGGCATGCCTTGTTTTCGGAGATCATCCATCATCGAGAAGAAAGAATATAAGCATACGTCCGCCAAGTCCCTAACAAACGTAAAGCTCCATTGGACCGTGTCCCAAGTTCCATCCTAACAACAAAATCTTGATCTAATAAATGAAAAGAACAAGAAAAACAACGAATAAACACACTTATTCACATATGCATCAATTGTAGTCTGCTTACTATAATACAATGGCGAAACTGATCGGTTTTCCCTTCACCAACAGCTTTAAAAGTTCCAAATATTGGCCCAAGAAAACCATACGCTAAACCACCAAGAATGCTACCCACAACGATCGAAAAAGGCCAAATAGCCAAAACTGGTGTAAATAATATGCATACAACCACTTTCATCACCGGCCCTAATCGTTTAGCACTGCCATTAAAGGAACAAAATACAGAGAATCTTTATATAAGCAAAGGATTTCAAGAATTGAAAATGGTTACAGAAACTAAATACAGGATCTTTATAGAAGCAAATAAGGATTTCAAGAATTGAAAAAGGTTAAAGAAAGCACCTCAATATGCAAAAGTAAGACCATACAACATGTGCAGGCCAGAGACCGATTGCGATAGTGGAGTTTCCAACGGCCATAATAACACATATAATTGGGGCCAAAATGATTCCTGAAATCAAAGAAACAATCTTTACAAGCAACTCAGTGAAAGTAGCAATCCAGATCATGGAATTACAGGTTTGGAATTGGAATTTGAGGTCATTTTTGAAAAGGGATTCACTTAATGATTCAAAATAATTCCTGAAATCAATGAAGCAATCTTTCTGGAGAATGGAATTACAGGTTTAGAATTGGAATTGGAGGTCACTTTAAAAGGGTTTCGTTTAATGATTCTTGAAACCAAAGAAATAATCTTTACAAGCCACGAACTGAAAGTAGCATTCTAGAGCATGGAATTGCAGGTTTGGAATTGGAACTGGAATTGGAATTGGAGGTCATTTTGAAAAGGGTTTCAATTAATGATTTTTGAAATCAAAGAGGCAATCTTTACAATCCACTTTAGCATTCTAGAGCATGGAATTACAAGTATAGAATTGAAATTGGAGGTTATCTTGAAAAGGTTTTCACTTAATGGTTCTTGAAATCAAAGAAACAATCATCACAAGCCACTTTAGCATTTTAGAGCACAGAATTACAGGTTTGGAATTGGAATTGGAATTGGAGGTCATTTTGGAAAGGGTTTCACTTGATGATTCTTGAAATCAAGGAGAAAATCTTTACAAGCCACTCTAGCATTCTAGAGCATGGAATTACAGGTTTAGAGTTGGAATTGAAGGTCATTTTGAAAAGGATTCTACTTGATGATTCTTGGAATCAAAGAAACAATTTTTTACAAGCAACTCAATGGAAGTAGCATTCTAAAGCATAGAATTACAGGTTTGGAATTGGAGATCGTTTGAAGAAGGGCTTCACTTCAAGATTCTTGAAATCAAAGAAACAGTCTTTACAAGCCACAAACTGAAAGTAGCATTCTAGAGCATAGAATTACAGGTTTGGAATTGGAATTGGAACTGGAACTGGAACTGGAACTGGAACTGAAATTGGAGATCAATTTGAAAAGGGTCTCACTTCATGATTCTTGAAATCAAAGAAACAGTCTTCACAAGCCACTAACTGAAAGTAACATTCTAAAGCATAGAATTACAGGTTTAGAATTGGAATTGGAGGTCACTTTGAAAAGGGTCTCACTACATGATTCCTGAAATCAAATAAACAATCTTTACAAGCCACTTTATCATTCTAGAACATAGATTTCCACAAGAATTGGAATTAGAGGTCATTTTTCAAAAGGGTTTCACTTAATAATCCAAGAAAACACACCAAATAACACCAATCAGAAATTCAAACAAAAGGATTCAGAAGGGTCAAACCTTTAATGAAGCCCAGAATAAGAAGTCCAATGAAATAAGGCAAGAACAGTATAAAATGACCTAAAGACCACCAAACCCCTCTTGCAGGTTCCATTACAGTTGCAGATTTCTGTATCTTCTTCTTCTTCCAACCAACTTCAGATCTCAAGAAACCCACTTCAAAGTCCTCCCCAAACCTTGCATACTCAAACCCAAAATCCCAAAATTATTTGGAAAACAACCCAACTTGATGAATGACAAACAAATCTTTCTGGCAACTGAAAATAAATGATAGTTAATCATTGGGGTTTGGGGTGTACAGTACACCCTTCATTATTATATTCTATTCTATTATATATATCCCCAGCAATGGTTCGACAAATGAGTGGGTTTTCGATTTCTTTTTATGGAAGTTAGATGTTTGAACTTTCAAAGAGCAATTCTGGTTTCTCTTGGTTTCTGAAGGATTAAACATAAGAGAAAAGGGGGTGAGTAAAGAAGGATTGGGTGGCAGAAGAGATTATTACGAAACGAAATTGAGGTATAGATTTGAAAGAAAGAGAGGCAGCGGTGGATTATGCACGGATGTCTTTAAGAAGCAAAGAATAAGACATCTGGGCAACGGGTCTTATTCCTATCTATGACCAGGATCCACGACCCTTCTTTTTTTTTTCTTTTTTTCTTTTTTTCTTTTTTGTATAATCCTTAAAGCCATCGTTATGACACTATTATTATTGTTATTAGTTAAGTGAAATTCGAGATTTTATGCTCTGATGAGATATTATGCTATAAGAGATAGTGGGTATCAAAAATATGTTCCAATGTTTAATTATTGTATAAAGTATGGTTTAAATTTGCATTATTTCCTAAATATCCCTACTATGATTGAGTAAGTATCAAGCATTTACCTCTTGGTGATTTGTATCACTAATATCGTTTAAGTATAATGGGATTAATTTGTTGACCAATGTAAGCATGATAAATATCAAACAAGTAAGGAAGGTGCGGAGTGCACACTTATTTTGAGTTTATTTTGATTTAGGGGTTTCGACGGGGTTCCGAGGGCAGCGCCCCCGGTGGCGGGGTCCAAGGGGCAGAGCCCCTGGCTGGGGTCGAGTTGCCAGGTCAGCTTGGAAATTTTTATTCGGGTAATATTGTTTTGTGAAAAATGCATCAGAAATCCGAATTTTAAATTTTAAATTCGGTTTTTGGCCCGGGTTAGGGTTCAAAAAACTGTCGTTTTTTACAGTTTCCGTATTCAATTTTTGAATTGGTCGTTTTTTTCGTCTTGAGGGGTACACAGATTCATAACGATTTTAGATTCTCAGTTCTGTCAACCACTGAATTTTATCCGATTGAGATTTCGATTGTACCGTCGAAATACTTCAATCTGAAAGTGATTTACTTTTCAGTGAGATTCCAAGCAATTGAAAAACCAGAAATTTCTAACATTACCTGCTACAGTTGCATGAGCCCCCCACTTCAAGTGCACCTTTGTATCAACTGAATCGCTTTAAGGGTCTAATATCGAGCATTTTGTTATAGTTGTGATCTTTTTGACTAATGGTCTGTTTATTAGCAGCTTAACGAACTTATTGGAACTGACAACTTATAGATGAATGTTTGGTAGTGGCTCAATGATATAGAAAATGTCTTATCCAGTAAGCTTCTAGAGAAGATATTTATGTAGAAAGTCAAGTTTTTTTCAAAACCGTTCCTCCCTATTAAAAATACCTTCATTCCATCTATGGGAAAAAAAAACCTATTTAAAGTAGGAATGAAATTGAGTTCAAGAAAAAAAATACGAATAACCGATATGTTATGATTTAAAGTAGGTTATTTAATGTATACACATAAAACTGGAAAAAAAAAGTCCGATAATGAAATATCGTTAGATAAATAATATATTCTAAAGAAGAAAAAAAAGTCTATTTCATTTGATAAATCAATATTCTTATGTTGATTTGAAAAAAAAATATGATTAAATTACAAGAATCAATACCATCAAATATTTAATCCAATCCATACATTATTTCTTATATATGAATATGATTCCTTTAATTGGAAATATTTTAGAAGTTTGAAATCCATATCAATGTCTGCCTTCCTTTCAACATCAAACCATATTTAGTAAAGTTTCCACTAACCAACCATCTCATCCTTTTTTATCTTCAATCCTATGCATGCTTTTTAAGTGTTAACACCAACCCATGATTCCTAACTACAACTATAATATAATATATAATGTGGTGTTTGATTAGTTTGAGTTTGAATCTAAAAGGTTAAAAGTATCCGGAGATTTCAAATTTGAATCCAAAGAGAAATAAAATATTCCTTAGGGTCACATAGGTTCAAATACGATGACTTCGGACCACCCGTTGGGATTGATCGACTCGCATAACTGGTTCGATATCAAGGTTAATAAAAAAACATGATTCACATTACTCTCACTCTTGTCATGTTGGATCGCTAGAATTTTTAAATATTTTTTTTTGTTTTTCAATTTTTTGTCTACTTACATGTATTATTTAACGTGTATCTATATAAAACATGTATAACATTTTTTTTTTTTTTTTGTATAAAAAATCATTTTTTAAAGACGAGGTCGGGATAGGGTACTGGACATAGATCGGCCCTAGGACTTTTAAGTCAGGATCAGGACTGACATGTCCGATATGGAACCGATATCTCTAATTATCAGCAAATTGGTGATATTTATGCATCATAGAGTTGTACAGTACAACCTAATTTAAGTATATAAATTAGGATCATCGTGTGAATGTAAGATATTCATGCACAAATCCATTGGTTTTTACTCATTTCCGTTACATTGCTACATAATATAATCGTATGGGATTCAACGATCTTAATGAGAATTTTAATTGGAGTTAAACATTATATTTATTAAAAAATTATTAAAAAATAAATCATTTTAGCAGTAGTATTTGTACTTTTTGTTGGAAAATGAACATTAAAAATTGCTTCACTTTGATATATTTTATTAAGTTTGATGGGTTTTTTTTTCAACAAATTAAGCATATAATAATTAAAAACCAATTCTTTCTACTAATATAATTAAAATATAAAATATACAAAAAGGATAAATAACGAGGCCCAATTCCAAAGAAGCATTTGAATGGGCTTTCGTGGACTGACCCATTTAAACGAAAGTAGATGTAGAACATTCGATTCGAGAAAACTAAGGAGACCATCTGGGTTATTTTGGTGGGTCGTGTCGTGGCCCATGAAGACCCATTATCATGGTTGTCTCTTATCACAAAATCAAAACCGCTAGAAGGGTATTTGTGCAATCCAACGATATATATTTTGATTTTAATTTTTTATTTTGTTTTTTATCTTTATCGATGTTATAATACAATTTTATATGTTTTTCTGAAAACAATAATGATTTTATTTTTGAATAAAATATAATTTTGAAGATGTCATAAAAAATTGAAAAAAAAATATATCAATGTTAATATCAAATCAATTATTTAAAAGTTTTCATTTATTATGTAATTTCTTTAATTTTTTTATTATAATTTAATTTAAGTTTAATAATGAAATAATTTATTTTTGGTTTAATAWTATAACATTTTATAAAAATAATAATTAACTATTATGTTAGAACATAATGATTATTCTAATTATATTTTAGATTTTTTATATTTAAAATGAGATATGAAGTTAATGATTATTATTCTCATTTATCTACAGTTAGTTACACGAATTCAGATATAGAGCTTTAATAAGTTGTATTTACACACAATCTACTTGTAATCTTGAATTTTAAGTAATATGTATTAATAAACAGTCTTTTATGAATAAAAAATAATTTTTAAAAGTTTTTGTCAAATGCTTTATAATATAATATAAATTTGACGAAAAGATTTTTTTTCTTGAACTCGTATAATATCGTGTTAATTACGAAAGAGGCCCTCACATCACATGGGTAATGGGTTGATAATATCTTCAAAGAATTAGACTAACCACCGCCACTCCACCTACTCTAATAATATTATTATTTTCTTTAATATTTAAAAAATATTTAATCATTAAGTTTCATAGAAACCAACAAAAATTTATTATATATCAAATTATTTTGTCTTAAAAATATTTTACTTCAAACTATTGATTTTGTTTCATGTTGTCCCGATTCTTATACTGATTTATGACGTATCAAATGTACGATAATGAATGTTGTTTTTTTCTTATCATATATGATGTATCAAACACAACTTTAATCATTAATTATTCCTACACAAAACAAACAAACACAACCTTAATTAATGATTAATCTACAATATATTATAAAAGAATTGATAAAATCATTATTTATATATGAAGTATTGTTTATTAATGCATATTACTTGAAATTTAAGATTACAAATAAATTATGTGTAGGTACAACTTATTAAAGCTTTATTTTTTAATTCATATAATTAATTGCAGATAAACATAATCAAATACATGATGAACATCTCATTTTAAATATAAAAAATCTAAAATATAACTAGGATGGTCATTATCTTTATAAAAATTCATGTTGCTAAGCCAAAAATAAACTATTTTGTTATTAAACCTAAATTAAATTATAATAAAAAATAAAATTAAAGAAATTGTATAAAAAAAAGGAAAACTTTTATATCAATGTACTTTTTCAAATTTTTATAATATCTTCAAATTTAATTTTATTCAAAATTAAAAATATTATATTTCATGAAACAACATAAATTATATTATATAAAAAAAATAAAAAATAAAAGCATCTAACCCTCCTTGTGGTTATTCTTAAAGAAAACAATTTGGAGGCGACATATTGTTTATGGTCCCGGCAATTTAGCGGACCCCCTTGTTTGAAAAATAAGAAATGGTCGTCACCATCAGCCATCAGGTACCCCCCCATGTGCATTAATACCCATAAAAATCAACATATGACATGTCTCATTGTAATTGGTCCTATCCAACAGAAAACTAACACCGCTTCATTATTTTATGTCTTTGTTTAGTTGTCCCCCACCCCAAACACTTTTTTATAAATACAACCCTTCTCCTTGTTTCTTCATACACCAATCCATCAAGAATCATGAAGTTGAAACCAAAGAGATTTTCCCGGAGCTTTTCTAGGTTTGGCGGCAGTGGCAGTGGCAGTGGCGGTGATGGTGGTGGTGCAACGGTGGATATAGGAATGGGTGAGACCAAATGGGAATTGCGTCCTGGTGGGATGCTTGTGCAAAGGAGAGAGATTAGAGGAGAAAATGACGAGGAGGAGATTATTACTATTCGGGTCACGACTGTTTCCCAGTGGCATGATGTACCTACTCAAGCAACTTCGACTTTTGGTAAGCCTTTTTGCAGTAACAATAATCTTGGATGCTTAAAATAACAACTTATAAAGTTGTCATAAAAAATTGACACCATGACACATATAATGTCCTAGCGTTTTTTTGTACTTGGGACAACAATTTTTTGGTCGATATCAAAAACCTTTTCGATATTGTTACAAAATATGAACTTATTTTGTTGGACATGTTTGAAAAATAACATGTTTCGATGATATCAAAAGCCCTGTTTTTCTATACAATTGCAATAAAAATTATAGGTTAGTATGGTTTTCTTTCAATTGTGTGTGAACATTTGAGCTGGAAAAACTTGTAGATTCAGCCATATGAAGTCAGACCGCTGTAATTTTGTTATTGTTAACTCATAACTTAACTTTTTTCTTCCCTTTTACAGGAGAATTGAAGATGATATTATCAACAGTGACGGGTATGGAGATAAAAGAGCAAAGACTGTTGTTTAAAGGGAAAGAAAGAGAAGACGGAGAACACCTACACATGGTTGGTGTTAGGAACAATGACAAAGTGTTGTTGTTACAAGATCCGGCCATCAAGGAGAAGAAGCGTCTTGGATTAGTCAAACTACCTTCTTACCGTACAATCATTGTATAATACAACTAAAATCGATAAATCCCTAATAACGTATAAATTTTATTTATTTGACTAAATATTAGTCTGTACGGAAAGATTGATTTAGATTTTTATAACCACACCCTCTAATTTCCAAAGAATGATGTAAATTATATGTGTTTTATGTTTATATTAGTTAAGATATTATTGTACTGGAAGCTCTTTTATTTTGAGCTTACTAAAGGACGATATGTGTAATCAATAAGGGTTTCCTTCATTTCAATACATGTATACTTATGAATATCGATGTTTCTTTTACTCCAATGTAATCATTCCTTCCATTGAGGGTCGATAATAGACTCAACAATCATAGCACGAGGATGGTGGTGACAGTTTATAAGAGGGGCATTTTACGTAAGGACACAGTGGTCATTTTACATACAACTATTTTTTATCCGATAGAAGGGTTCAATCAATTGAGATCTGTGACCTCCATCCACAAAATATCTTTCTTTTATAACACATGAGTCGGTTGAACATTAACAACTGATGTAAACAATATAAATTATACTCAAGAAACGAACTTTATTAATTTTAATGATATAAAAACTACAACGTTAAGAATTAAACCAAGAACAAAAATTACAATCCGAAAACGAATTTTATAAAAATAAAACTCGTTATTATTATATAAAAAAAGTTATTACCTAAAGTTTTAATTTTGTATATACCCACCAAAAATAGGAGGGTTGGTTTGTAATTTGGCTATAAATTTGGGAAGAAATTGGTAAATAATAATCTAGAACAAGAAAAAACCAGCGATGGAGACAACACCGACGGTGGCAGCGGCGGAGACCTTCAAATTGATGGAAGATCCAGAACTGGATGCAGAATCACCACCAGCTGCATCGCCGGTGCCCTCGGCGGCACCAGGAGATCCGGCGGCAGCTGAATCGGTAGATGGGGATGCTGTCGGACTTGCAGCGGAGGCTGACGGTGTTGATGCCGCTGGGGATTTCTCATCGGCGGCAGCAGCGAACCCCACAACGGCGATGAAGATGAGAGCAAGAACAATCATTTGACGGGCCATTTTTGGTGAGTAAATTGCAAAAAACAGTTGGGAATTATAGAAAAAGGTAGAATATTTGTCTGTAAAGTGAAGATTATCGGATGATTTCTTGGTGGTAGGGATCAGAGGTTCATATAATCATCGATGGAAACGATGATGGTGAAATGGGTGGCAGAGCTTTGTTTTTTTATCATCAATGACGGATAATTTGAATGCATAAAACACGAAACAAAAAATTAAGGAGCTCCAAGTTTTTTTCTCCTAATTTAATGGAGCTTTTTTTTTTCCACCATTGATGATAACAAATGAAGCTTTTTCAATGGATATAAATTAACCGTAATCGGGATTCAATCAAAATCATCAATCGTCAAACAAGCAGTGTTTCTCTACACTGATTTTAGAGAAAATACTGCAACTAATTAATTTCGATCGGAGACACTAATTTTTTTTCAGCAAAAATGGCCCGCCAAATGTTCGTTCTTGCTCTCATCTTCATCGCCTTTGTGGGTTTCGTCGCCGCCGCTGATGAGAAAGCTCCAGGGGCATCAACACCAGCGGCCTCCGGCGGAAGTCCGGGAGCGTCCCCATCTAGCGACTCAGCCGGCGGCGGATCTCCTGGTGGCGCGGAGGGCACGGGTGATGCGGCTGGCGGTGATTCTGCATCCAGTGGAGCTTCTACCAGCTTGAAGGTTTCGGCCACTGCTACGGTTGGTGCTGCCGCCGTCGCTGGCTTCATCGCTTTATAAATTTTAATTGATCATTGCTTGATTGCTTTGTGAATCATTTGTTTTGTTTTTCATAAAATGTATAAATGATGTCGCCTTGTAAACTTCAACTTCAACTTATTTTGAATAAAGAGAAGAATTAATTAAGGTCATATCAAGACTTTATTTTCTCATACATTTGCATTTGCTTGCTTCTACCGTTACCATCATTTATTTAACTGCCGGGCTGAATCCATGATTTTTTATTGAACCTATGTCTTAAATAAATTTAAGGTGGGATAAAGGTTTGTAAAGTCATTCAATGTGTTTTAAAACCGAATTCAATCGTCTCGTGAATTCTTTTGATTGATTACAAAGAATTTATTATAATTTTGATTAATTTAGAGGGACTTTTTTGGATTGATATCTTCTGTATTTACTAATATTCAATGACACCCTTTAAAGTTTAGCGTAACCAAAATTTCTATCCTGAAAAGAAATTTTACTTGCGAAAATTGGTTGTAAATGGTTCGCCCTTGATTAAATGCAAAATTACTGAAAAATATTAATAAACGCTTGCTTATAAAATCCCTAATGCAAATGCTCAAGGGACAAAAAAATATGGTTTGATTTCTATTCAACACATACCCATTTTCTTATTTTGGGCTTGTTTGCTCGAAATAGTTGCTATCAAGCAATCGCAGAGCAAGAGACTGATTAGTTTGTGTTTGTATTTGTATTTAGAGACATACAATTGTTACAAATCTAGTTTAATTTGATCTTCATTAGTTCATTTTAGAACCCTTGTTCTATATTTATGCTCTTCTATAATACAAATTACCTCATCAATATACTTTTTATTACATTTTTTTTTTACAACATTAAAAAAATGAAATTGGAAACAAGTAACCATGAAATTAATGTTATATAAATCAAATGCCTTTTGGCCTAGCGATATGTGAGTCATTGGTCTTTTAGGAGGTCAAGGGTTCAAACTTCACCAAAGAGAAGGAATGTATGTAAATTTAATTGTTTTATTTACCATGCATAAATATTATATACTTAAAAAAAAATTAATGTTATAAATAAAATTAATAGTAAAAGATGTAAATTAATGTGTTAGAAACAAGTCATACGACGTCGTTCTGTTTTCTATACTTAAATTGGCCCAATATCAGGCCCAATTAAAACCGGAGCCAACCCGATGTCCGTTTCCGAAGATCCAATAACTCCGCAGTCACTGGAATCGCCTAACCAGTAAGCAAAATGGCACCGGGATCCGCTTCTGAACCGGCCTCCGGCAATAGCGTCTCGTCCGCCGCTAACGGCGGCATGACGGTGGCCGAGTGCGAAAATATGATCCAAAGAAGCCTTCGAAGTAATTGCTTATAACTTTTTTCTGGTTCATAGGGTTTAGGGTTTACAAGTTTTACTTTTTTTCTCGTAGTGATTGAATTTCTTGTCATAACTATGTAATTTGAATCCGAAACTATCAGCTCCGATGGTGAAGTTTTTGAAGGAGCATTTGGAGAAAGGTGGATGTAATATTGCCTCCAACTTCATAAAGGCCATCAACTGCGACCAGCGGATGAGCGGTGGTTATGTTCGTGGAGAAGGGGTAACACTTCTCATATATCCATTCGATTGTTTTGAACATTTGCATGAGCATGAAGATACTTCATATTCACCAGGCTCGTTTGATTTCTCTACCTATTTGTAGTTCATAGATTAAAGTTGAAGTGTCTGGTATGCATCAGTATTTCATTTAAGACCAAGTTATTAGTAGGACCTTGTAATGCAGAGCTGCACTTTTGGTTTAAACAATGGAAACTCTTATATGCTTATGTTGATTGGAAAATTGTTCATCTTTTCATGTTGTAGATAGTGGTATGTAGTAATTACATGAACATTCAAGATGAGGTCAATCAAGTTGTCATCCACGAGCTGATTCATGCATATGATGACTGTCGAGCTGCAAACTTGGATTGGACTAATTGTGCTCATCATGCCTGTAGTGAGGTCTGAATTCTTATCCACCTTCTTATGTGCTTTCTTAATCTCTGTATCAGAAATCTTGATAAAATTGCTTTGGTTTTCTTGTTTCTATCTGAAACAGATCCGAGCTGGCCATCTTAGCGGTGACTGCCACTATAAGAGGGAACTATTGCGAGGCTTTGTCAAATTAAGAGGCCATGAACAAGTAAGTTTGTTTTTTGTGTATAGCAATAAGTTATTGAGCTGTGTCAAATTGCTTTTACCTCTCTTTAGATTGTATGGTCTCATGTAAGTCATGTCACCATTGCGAAATGCAAGCAAATTAAGTTGTTATACCGTTCAACATCATATATTGACTAAAAAATATATATTCTAGCTCTTGATGTTATAATAATGTATAAAGGATTTGGTAGGTGAGGGGGATGTGTTTTGGCTTTTGGGAAGTGTGCATTTATTTTTACCTGAACGTGGTGTACAATGTTCTAAAAACATATATTTTTATCATGGAATCAATTAGTTCCAAGAATTCATTAATTTTAACGAAAAATATGATATCATGTTGTTTCATATCTTACTGTGTACTTTATTTAATTTATGAGTTTTAAAGCTAGTACATATTTTATAATCCTCTGTTTTCCTGTTAATTCTGGTTGTATTTTGCTGCATTCAGTTCCAAAAATTAAGTTATGAAAAAACCTTTGTGACCTTCACAACATATTAAAGTGAGTGGAAGATAAATCCCTCGAAAACAATATTATGTTCTGATAGGGTCGGGAAATCCTTTCCTGCTGAGCATGAGATGCCAGATCACGTGCTCAGATTACTGATACATAAGTAGAATTCTGTATGCTGTCTGCCTTGTTACAGAACTCTATAGTGCATGTGTGCTTTCTTGGACATAGTTTTTTCTTAATAGAATCCCATATGGTTTGTTTATCTAGGCACATATACTGATGTTAGTAGCTAACACTCTTCCATAAGGAACTTTCAATATGATTTGCTAAATGTCCTGATATTTATTATATTCTTGGATTTAATGAGGGACTTCAGATGGGCATGCTTAGAAATCTGGGAACGCCAAAGATGGGTTCTTTCTGTTGGATAATTAAGCTAAACCATGTGGAAGCAGTCTCGAAAACACTTTCTAATTGGTTATGTTTTGCTCCCAGAGATCTGAATAAGGCTGCCAGCTCTATGTAAACTTTTCATTTATGTCTTAACTGAACCATTGTGTTATGGTTTATCTGAGAGGAATAAAACAAGGACCTATTCATAGAGTAAGATATATGTGTGTGTGTAAAAGAAACAAAAAACATTGGAGTTAATTGTAAATATGCTCTCTTCTGAACGTGGCTTCCATGATCTGCCTTCACTTTCCTTTAACAATTAGAGTGCTATTTACAAAATTCATGTTGCATGCCCTTTTTCATGTAATTTACTTTTCTGATACTTTTTGGCTATTGTAACTGCTAGTTTGTCAGACTGCATTACAATGAAGCAAATTATGTTTCTTTCTTCCAATTTCTTGAATGAAATGTAGGTTGGAAACATAATTGAAGACTAAGACGTACTTTCCCTTCTCTAATTCATCTAATCAACTTCCATTGGATGTAGTATGACATCTTCAAACATTTTTTTATTCCAACTCTAGATGTAAAATCAGAACAGGTACTTAAAAATTTACCCATTGTTATTTGATATCTGAAGGACTGTGTGAGAAGAAGAGTGATGAAGTCATTGGCGAATAACCCCTACTGTTCAGAAGCAGCTGCTAAGGATGCAATGGAAGCTGTTTGGGACACATGCTATAATGATACAAAACCATTTGACAGAGCCCCTTGAGAATTCCATATTTGATAGCAATTTCCCCATATTTATTCAAAATATGTAGCTTTAAGAAGACTAAACATTGCCCTCCTTGGTGGGGGATCAACATAGCGACGATATTCAAGTATATTCGAGCATTTTCTTGAATATTGTATCTTTATATTGCTCTTCATTTCTATAATAATTGTCATACTGGTTTTCTTATTGAATTTTAGTTTCTGATGCTTGTTTTCCATTGTTTCCTTGATCTGAACCAGGGTTCTATTGAGGTGGACTGATGACCTTTATTTATTATCTTTGAAAATGGGCCCATCATTGTTGGATTTTTTAATTCAAGTAAACATCAAAGTACTACACTACTCTTTGGCTGTATTATAGCTTCACATGTCTCTCCCTCCCTCCCTCTCTCTCTCTCTCTCTCTCTCTCTCTTTTCACTTGGTTATATCATCCCTTTCTTGCTCCCTACATGATTAGTTTACCAGCTAGTTTTTCAGCTAACAGCTATCTTATCAGGTAATTCTAAATTTGAAATGTAGTGTAATGAGTTGTTTTTGTTATAGCTGTGTTTTTAGGTAGTTTGAAAGGGACTGCCATAACGGAAACCGAAGACAGAGCTCCAGGTGGTGGGGCAGGTATGATCCACATCTATCATCTTCTCTTTGTTCTTTTTAGATAAAGAAATGCATTTAGAAGCCGCAGCAGAAAGAACAAAAAGAAACACCACCACCCAACTTCTAAACCTTTAGATTACTATATAAAGATTCAAACTTTAGAATTTTTTCCTAACTTTAATCTGACCCCACTAGTTTTGGTTCTTCACTCGAGGTTACTGGAATTAGACTGTTCACTAACATGTTCCAAATCCCAAACAGTGGGCATACCTCATATACAAATAGTCGCATCATTAAACACAGAAAAACACAGATACTAGAGCTGCATGGAGAAGGTTTTCAAGATAGCCATCACTTGTCTCTGTCTGCTGTCTCACCCATATCACAATACTGCTCGACCACTGCATTATGATTTTACAGGTTTGGTTTTTATTGAAACGGTCGCTCTACTGTTTAGGATGGATGATAGATGTGTGTACATCCCACTCTCAACCCCCAGAAGCTACTTTTCAAGTGAGATATATTAGACTTGAATGTTGTTATAATCGACCATTTTTTTCTCAATATATGTTTGAATCTTTATTCTCTTTTCAAGGGTTCTTTTTTAGAGTAATCTAATGTGGTTCTGCATTTTTACACTCTGGGGTAATCTGTATTCATCTAGCCCCTTCTTGAGACTGTACGACAACTGTGCCCTTCTAGCCTTCGTTAGAGGCGCCGTGCTAGAGTTACTTGGACCATTTCTCCTTGATATATATATATATATATATGGAACTTTCTCTCTCCTCAAGGGCTCTTTTGAATAGCAAACTCATGGGCTTTAACATATTTTTAAAGGTCTGGTTGGTTCTGAACCATTGGTTAAAACTTGCAGGGATGCTGAAACTGCAAATGGATCATCAAATCACGGGGAAAGGAGTGGATGGCGGCAGCGGTGATAGACATAACAGGTGGTGGTCGGAGGAAGATTATTCTTTACCTCATCGCCGTATTCCCGTACACAATAATCTCGATCCATAATGAATGTTTTGATCTCGTTCTAAGCCGTCCGTTTGTTTCGTGGCTTGCTGCATATGGGCTATGGCTAGCCACCAATCCATGCGTGTTTTGGAATATACATATTTTGAGAAGCATCAAGTACTGTAATTAGTAGCGAAATTAAGTTGATTAATCATCCCAAATTAACGGTGTAAGCGGTTCTAATAATTTATAACATCTAAGTATCAAGCGTATCCCTCTGTTTAGAGGATGCACAAAAAAGGCCGAGCCTGTAGATAAAGACCAAGTCCTGATCTCAAAACTTGACGAGGCTGCAATATTCGCTTAAAAAGGCTTGGAAAACCACGGTTAATCATGAATATTTTTTGCTTACGGGAAACAGGCTTGGAATGTGTAGGCCTCGTTCGTCTTTCACGTATTGGTATATTTAGTTTTCGTATAGCACAAGCGAAAGATATTTTAATCGTTGACTTGAAATCTATGTTATCTACCATGTGGTATTGAATCCAACTTTTTTGTCCTTTTTGTACTATGTCATACAGTCACATGGTCTAACATTAAGAGGATGTTCGATTAAAGTGATCATATGATATTAAAATCAAAATTAAATAAACAGTATGTCTCATGATGTCAATATTTAACATATACTAGTTATTTTATTTTACATTGTTTTTTTTAAATATATAATATTTATATACGGTAAATAAAACAAATAAATTCATACATTCTCCTCATTTTTCATACCTTTGATCTCCTAAAAAGTCAAAGACTCATATATCGCTAAGATAAAGATCCTTTGGTCTAATAATCATTGTTATTTTCTAATAGTCTTTTCTTTTTAACAATATTAGATACCCATTTGGTTAACAAAATTAAATACCAAATTTGATTTAGCAAAAAACAATTTAGAGACTTGATCATTTGAGAACTCTAAAATCTATTAGATCCTTGAGAATTTCTATGTTAAAATTTTGTTTCACATGATTTTTTCCATCTAAGTATAATATTTGACGTATTCATTGACATATATTTATTTCACAATGTGTTTGTTTCACATAATGTGAAACTTTCTTATGTGTACTTTTTTGTTTCACAAACACATAAAAGAAGTTCACAATGTGAACCGAATACATATGAAACAAATATATTTTTATCAATATCCTAAATCCTAGTTGTAGATGAAAAAGATCATATAAAATAATACATAATGTATAAATTTTCTCAAGGTTATTACAATTTAATAGTTGTCAAAAGAAGGGTGTACAGTAATTACATGTAACTGATATGTTATGGTGACTTCTAATGTGAAATTAAATAAACATAAATCAAATTGTTTAAAAAAAATAAACAAGAATTAATATCTATTAAATGATTATGGATGATACAAACACTTTTACAAGCTTGTTTGCAATTTAAATAAATGATTTAAAAATTCATACTTAAAGTAGTCAAGTGTTATTGTTCATCCATTAATGATATAATTAATGATTCATTAAACACATCATAAATAAGATCAAACTTATGACATTTAAATTGCTATAAGAAACAAATATCCACAAGAAATGGTATCTTTAGAAGCAAGATTTTGGTTGTAAAATTGGGGTCGATTCCCGTACACTGATTTGATCAGATATATCACATAATATAAACATTTATTAGAACTCTAAAAAAAACACGTAACGGATCTTAAAAAATCACTTTAAGAATTGCTTTTCCTTATTTTGTTATTTTAACCATCAATTGTAATTCATTATCGTCACAAAAGAGACCCTCCAAACATAATACCATCGATTCCCAACTGATGTACTTTCACAAATAAACGATAGTTCAAATGTAGCAGCTGCAGTGTGGAAGTTACATTTCTTTTGGAGATTGAGCTTCTTATGGCATTGAGCACCTGCAACATATTCGTTAAAATAGAGAAATGAGGTTCTTCTTATCTATTTTCTTTAACAGATTTTGTATATTATTCACTAAAATCTTAAAGAATAAAATCTGTAAAAACACTCATATTCGATTCTTACATACTCTTTATTTTAGAGATTTCAATATTAATTATATTATTAAAACATTTCATAATGTTATAATCTAATACACTTTTTAAGATTTCATAAAAATAATAATTTAGTTGTCGAGAATAAATAACAAATCATTTATCTTTTCTGCATCAAGGTCTAGAAAAATTTATAAAGTTTGAGTTTTTTTTTTGTTTATAGAATATATGTTGGAGCTAAATAGAGAACAAAATTTCTATTTTCTTTATTTTAAGGAATCTAATTGAAAATGCTCTAAGCCAACCACCTAACAAACTGTTATGTACCTAATTTGTCTTTCCTATGATAATTTTAGGATGTGAGATGTTTGGGGGTTATCTCGTACAAATCTATTTTTAACAAATAGCAGAAAAAGGGTATAACAAAAATAATAAATGTTGCATCAGAGCATTTTCAACGGATTTTCTATAATAGAAAATTTAAAAATGAAAATCTTTAAAGAAAATTTATGTTCATCTTCAACAACTTCTTTATTTTGAAGATTATAATATGAATTATATTATTAAAATATTATTTATGTCTTCTATACATTTAATTTCAAGGATTCTCCTCTATTTTTTCAATTGTTGACGATTTATTAAAACAAAAATCAATGCTTTTTAGTTTGATGTGTCATTCACACTTGATGAATAATTAATTTTTAGTAGAAATTAATGTTCGATTTTTCCATAATGTTTGGTATAGAAGACATCGCCCCTTCTTTTAACGTTGCATACAAGTCGAATTTAGTAAGCATCGAAACTGCCGACGAGTACGTGCCTTGTCTTTCTCTTCTCTTTCTCTTCTCCGCCCAAACCCCACCTCCTTCCTTCATTGTATATCTTCAATTCTCCTTTCTTCCTCTTTCATCTTCTTCGTCTTTCTCTCTCTACATTCATTCATGGCTCCTGTTAACAACAACAACAACAATGGGCAAATCAATAACAATGAAAACCCATCAAAATATAAGGTTACAATCGTAGGAAGTGGCAATTGGGGTAGTGTTGCTTCAAAGCTCATTGCTTCCAATACCCTCAAGCTCCATTCTTTCCATGGTTTGTGTTCTCACTCCAGGATTTCAACTTTTTTTTTTTGTCTTCGCATTTTTGAATCAATTTCGTGAAAACCCATGTTTGATTTTGAAATTTTAGATGAAGTGAAGATGTGGGTGTTTGTGTTCGTGTTTCTGAATCAAAGATTTCAACTTTTTTACATTTCTTGAATCAATTTCATGTTTGATCTTGAAATTTTAGATGAAGTGAAGATGTGGGTGTTTGAAGAGAAATTGCCAAGTGGTGAAAAGCTCACAGATGTCATCAATCGTACCAATGTAATCATTCGCAAATTCCCAATTCCCAATTTGTAAAAAGACGTTTCAAGATTCGTAATTTCTCTCTGAAAACATTTTTGATTTATAAACAGGAAAATGTGAAATATTTACCGGGGATTAAGCTTGGGTCTAACGTTGTTGCTGACCCTGATCTCGAAAATGCAGGTATCATCATCATCTATCAAATCGCTGCAATATGATAAATGAATCTTGAAATTAAAGATTAGGGTTCTTTCTTCTATGTTACGTGTTTAAGTTGCAATATATATAGAATATATATATATATATATATATATATATATATATATGTGCAAAAGTTGAAGACCCCCTAGACACCGTATGTGATGAGGCATTTTGTGAGCTGATTGACTGGCCTTGGCAAGCGAAGGGATTCAAGCCCGCATCCCATAGGATTTGAATTTGACTCTGTTTTGTATTTGGGCAAAGTCACGCTAACCCTTTGCCAATTGATACACCAGAGGGCTATATATAAAGAGAGAGTGTGAGGTTCTAGGAAAACCCCAAAAAATGAAAAACTGAGGAACACAAGTAATTGAATATGTTTTCTGGTTTCTATGTCAGTGTGCATGTTACGTACATTTGCATACTGGACAAATTACTTGTATGCACATGTACATACCGTATAGACGAATGGTTACTAATGTGTTCCTCGGTTTTTTATTTTATTTTTTTTGCGGTTTTCCTTGAACCTGACCCTATATATACTAGTACTTGTCTTACATGGTTTACCCTATTACATTGTTTGTTTGCACACCACTTATTCTACCTGTCATATTTCCCTATTACCTATTACACACACCTTTGCATCATACGGGGTCTTCATGGAAACAACCTCTCGATCCTAGTGATTCAGGTAAGTTCTGCATAGATCATACCTTCTTAGACCCTATTTTCGAGTGAGATATACTGAGTTCGTTTGGTTTGGTTCTTATTTCTATTCAAATTGTGGTTCTTGCAGTGAGGGATGCAAACATGTTGGTTTTTGTGACCCCACATCAATTCATGGAGGGCATATGCAAGAGATTAGTTGGTAAGATTAGAGGTGATGCTCAAGCCATTTCTTTAATCAAAGGAATGGAGGTCAAAAAGGAAGGTCCTTGTATGATCTCCACCCTCATTTCACAACAATTAGGTGTCAATTGTTGTGTTCTTATGGGTGCTAACATCGCTAACGAGGTGACGTTCGACTAAATTATTAAAAATCACACTTCAAAACAGAGCAAAATGCATCATAATGCAACTAAGATTATCTTATTAGTTCCCAGTCAGTTTAACAAAGTTCAAAAATTCCTATTTTAATGTAACAATGTTTAAAAAATTCTTGTTTTCTACCCATCTTGACTGTTAACCTGGCAGGGCAAGTTCATTCAGGAACCTTAACTATTTTAGGAAATCAGGAACCCCCTTTTCATGAGGGTTATTCATCATGAATATCTTTCACGATACTCATCGTGAATATTTTATCACGTTATTCTCATGAATACTCAAAAAGGGTGATTCCTGGTTCTTAAAATATTTAAAGTTCCTAAATGAACCTCCCCTAACCTGCTAATCTTGTAACATTTGATGACGTGCGTGTCAAGTTTATCGTCCACTTTGTTGTAACCTTTCCTTAAAGGGTATCCACGTCATCAAAATGTTGCAAGATTAGCAGGTTACCGGTCAAAATAGATACAATATAACTTCTTTTGAAACTTTGTTACATCAATTGAGAAAAGAAACTGTTTATCAACACTAAATAGGAACAAAACCAAACTTCGTTACATTTTGATGCATTTTGCCATCAAAATACCACATACCTAACAATGAATAAGCAGATTGCAGTGGAGAAATTTAGCGAGGCAACAGTAGGGTATAGAGAAAACAGGGAGATTGCAGACAAATGGGTGCAACTATTCAGCACTCCTTACTTCATGGTCTCACCTGTAAGTAGAACTAATCTGTTAATATTGTCAAGTTTTTTAATCATAATTTTGTAGATATTAGATAAAAAACTACAAAAAATAAAAACAACTTTTGGGTATGATCAAATTCAGTGTCAAGATGTAGAGGGAGTTGAACTATGTGGGACTTTGAAAAATGTTGTGGCCATAGCAGCAGGTTCGTTCTTTGATCTTCTTTCTATCATTTTCAATAGCGAAAAAAAGGAAAGAAATAAGGGTTTTGATGGGTTTGATTCATATGGGCAGGGTTCGTGGATGGATTGGATATGGGAAATAATACAAAGGTAAATGCAGAATCTTGAAAAAGATAGATGATAAAGTTACCATCTTGAGTATTTTCTTGTTTACCGGATGATATCAGGCTGCAATAATGAGAATCGGGTTGAAAGAGATGAAAGCCTTTTCAAAGCTTTTGTTTTCTTCGGTTAAAGATAATACCTTCTTCGAGAGCTGCGGTGTTGCAGATCTCATAACGACTTGCTGTAAGAAGAGCAATATCGTCTTTTTTTTTTTCTTCCTGTTTCTTGTTCTCATGGATTCATCGGAACTGTTTGAATATGCTAATTGCAGTGGGAGGAAGAAATAGGAAGTGTGCGGAGGCTTTTGCTAAGAATGGTGGCAAAAGGTTCGTCTCTACGCCATAGATTTTACCAATGAACGATTTTGATCATCTTTAGTTCTTCATCATGATCTGCAGGTCTTTCGATGAGCTTGAAGCTGAGATGCTGCAGGGACAGAAGTTACAGGTATTTTCACCTCTACGGAAGTTCAAATAAGAATTGTAAATATTTTGAGAACTAGGAACCAACTATTTCATCAGATTTCATTTATGAATAACTCGGTCATGCATTTTCACTATTCATCATATCATGCATGTTTCATCATGAATATAATTATTATTCATCATGAATAAAACATGAATAGTTATTTTCCAGATCCTCAAAACATTTATGGTTCTCATTTTAACCTGACCCTTTTCAATTATATCGTATCTTCGTTTATTCAAACACCATATTATTAGTACCCACAAAATGAAAATGTTAACTGGCGTACCTAAATCACTGAACACACTTCTATTTTGATTTTGAAGGGAGTTTCAACCGCAAAAGAGGTATATGAGGTTTTGAAACACAAGGGATGGTTAGAGATGTTCCCGCTGTTCACAACGGTGCACGAGATCTGTACTGGCCGTCTTCCACCATCTGCCATCGTCGAGTATAGTGAACACGCCCCAAAATTTCCCCTTGTGGGTGGCCCGACTGCATTTCAATGACTCACATTTCAATCGGAAAAGCAACGATAGTTCATAAGTGTATTCTTGAAGTTTTTTCAAGTATCCACTCTTTTCATTTCTTAAAGCACTTGGTGAATCAAAAAGTTTCTACACAGGCAAATATTGCCAAATGCACCCATATCAGAAAAGCTTCAATGTTCTTCTTCTTGTTTCAAGATCAATCATACATGAAACACCCATTTTAGATTTGTTGAATTTCATGCTTTATAGCATCTTATAATTCGAATCCTCGAAATGGGAATTAAGAATTATGGTCAAATAAGAACCGTAAATATTTTGAAAACCCAAGAACCAACTATCCATGTACTAATTATAATGAATGTTGTGATTCATATTCATTATTACAAAAACTATTCATCAATGAAGATGCATGATATTCATGAATCATAATGAAAATGCATTATATTCATGAATATTTAATATTATTTATTTATGAATAATACATTAAATAGTTGAATAACTTTGGCATAAGCACATAAAGCTTTCAATATTTATGATCAACCGTTCTTGTTTTTTAGTTTTCTAACTATCGTTGCCTAGTAAGATCTAGAAAACATCGTAATCGGAAAACTCGAACATTAATCATGGAATTTGGCTTTCTGTAATTAAGAAATATTGTAGTCTGTCACATAGATTATGATCACAAGAGCGGGGATTGTATTTAAAATCCCTAATCTTTCTATAATTGTTGTGATAATGATGATAGATATGGAGTTAAACAAAGAAGTGAAGACCCAATTACCCAATTTTATAGTGGTTTTTTGGCAAAAATAATTGTTTTTTGTGATCAAATGTCAAATATAATCATCCAATATTTCGATTTACAGTTCATCAAGCAAGATGGCATGAATCTATTCGAACTCCAGAAACCCAATAAATGTCATCAAAAACCAATAGGATCTGTATATCTCGGTCGATCAATGATCACCATGTTGATCAAGCAAGAAAATTTGCAAAACTAGGGTTTTTTATAAGATCAGTAATGGATTCTCACCAAGATGAAGATTTCAAAACTAAGTTTTCCTTCGTAGACGCTTCCTCAGCTTCTTCAACTTGTGCTTCTTCATCTTCTTCTTTCTCTTTTTGTTCACACTATCAACCCAAATCATCATTTCATTGTTACCCAAATCATCATTTCATTGTTACCCAAATCAATTTCTCCTTCTGGATCAACAGATTGAACGAACCCAGATTTAAGAAATCCCCCACTTGGGTAAAACTTCAAGGAATTAGAAGGGTTGGATTGGTCGATTGTTTTGGGTACGCCAATGGCGGATGATTCTGGTTTTGTATCGGAGACTCAGATTGACTTCGAAGAGGCCACAATTAGGGTTGATGATTTCTTTCTAACGAGCTTTTGCAGAAGGGAAGTCATTTGTAACAAAATTTGGGGGGAAAGAGATACAAGAATGAGGTGTTCTGAAGCTTTTGCTTTTGATCACCAGAATTTGTTGATTAGGGTTCAGAGGTTTAGATCCAACGCTAAAAAAGAATCACAAAACGGAAGGGGAAAAAACATTATTCCATAAAAATCAAATGATGCCCCCATGCAGGATCGAACTACAGACCTCCAGTTTACAAGACTGGCGCTCTACCACTGAGCTATAGGGGCATTCTTGTTGCTCGATTTCTTTAGAATTCATGTATATGATTATGATTATGGTTATCGCATTAGTTCAGATGAAAATTATCATTTCTCAAGATTCTGTTACATTGAATGGTATTTATGCAAATGTTGATTCACAAGCATACCCCAGATTGCCCCACAGGAACCGCCATTTCAGAGTCTGACTCAATGGGTAAAGCAAGCTTTGCCCTCTAAGGAACCACATGTGAGCAACTATTTTAGAGTTACTCAGCGGCTAAATCAAGTTCCGCCCCCTAAGAACGAGATGTGAGCCGCTAGTTCAGAGATGACCCAATGGTTGAAAACGAGCTCCGACCCTAGAAATCATATGTGCATAGCCATTTTAGAGAGGCATGTGGAGGGGTTCAAACTCGTCTCTTACATACCAGGACTTGAATCTTTTTGCTCAAACACCATTCAATCTAACGGAATCTTGATGATTGAATGGTATTATCCATTAATCTTTACATCCTAAATTGGATCTTCATTTTGATTATCTTTATTGTTCACTACAAAGGTACTCGCCCAATACAACAATATACATCTCGATTTTAATGTTTCATTTTGTTCTTTGTTTTCGTTGATATAATACGGTTTCATGTGGTTTTGAGAGGGTGATAATGTTTTTATTTTTTGAATAAAAGATATCATAAAAATTTTAAAGAAAAATATTGATGCTAGTATCAAATTAATTATTTAAAAGTTCTTGTTTTTTTGTACTTTCTTTCATTCATTTCTTTCACGCAGGGTTTTTTTGGGTTCGTTAGATTTAACCGTGTTTTCTTGACGTTTTTAGGCCGGGGCTTTACCTGGTCGCTCCTCCCCCCAAAATTTCAGCCTAATCGGGGTTTGACGCCTGACCTTTTCTGTGCATCTCTAGTTTAAAACAAGAATAAAATAAATAAATAAATATCAACAATCTATATTCTTGCCCATATAGTTTTATTACCTCAAGAAAATTAATCTTTTTGGTGTATTTACATGACCCATCGTAATAAAGAATTCACCAAGGTTGTTTTCTAATCTTTTTTGAGACCTTGTTACACCTGTACCAATACTAATGCCAGAGTAGACTATAGCTGCAATCGGAAATCGTCAAATCGACTGAAAAGAGTACAAGCCTACAACATTATAATAGCGGTCCTCTTCCATATCTAACATTTGGTCTTTGGTCATTCATAGATCGGTTTAAAATTCTTGTAAGCAATTACAGCATAAAAAGGGTCTGATCCAGAAACCAACCCCAACAACCCTTTGATCCAACCGAAAGCCGAACCATCCGGTTTTGCACCATCGGCTAGCTTTCTAACCACTTCTGGCTCGGTGAACCCTTCTACACATTGAAAATACTGAACCACTAACTGCACCCTACCGAACCCGGTCCCTTCTCTCCATGCACCAATCGCCTTTTCGTAGAACAACCGGTTACTAAAGCTCACAATAAACACCCCACCTGGTCTCAACACCCGAAACACCTCGCTGAAAACCTTTTCGGGCTGCTGAAGATATTGAACACTAACTGTACATAAAACAGCATCAAAACTAGCATTCTGAAACTCAAATTTCTGATCTTGGTTCAAATCTTTGACGACAAAATAATCGAGTCTAGGGTTCTTGGCTAGCTCCTGTGGGTTGAGCCCATGGCCAACCACCTTCTTGAACTTGACCTCTTCTGGCAAATGGCTAACCCATGAGCTCATGAGGTCAAGAATTTCGAACTCTGGGCTCAATTTCTTCCTGTAAACATCGGTTAATGTCGCGATGAAGTTATCATCGACGTGGGTTACGAATCGTGGGTAGGCATAGAAGTCTTTATCGGGAGAAATGTTGAATTTGGTTCGGCCTTCTTTGGTGAGAACCAGACGCTTGATTTTGCCGGCCGATGATTGGGGTTTTGGTGGGTCGATTTGGTTTTTGATGGTGCTTGTGGGTTTTGATTTGGGGTTAGGGTGAGGGTTCCATTGGAAGGGTTTGAGGGTTGGTTGAAGGGTGTTCATGGCTACGGGTTTGAGGGTTGGCTGAGAAGCTTCGTTGTGTACATCAAGAAGAAAAAAAGATGGATAAGGTGCTCATTCTTTTAATTGTTTTGTTTGGTCCCTGTGATTTGTTCAAAGTTTTTGTGTGTGTTTTTATATTATTGAAATTATAATTTTTAAGTTTATGGTTTATATTTTATTATTATTGTTATTTTTATTTTTATGATTTATAGTTTATTGTGGTTTGTGTTTTATTGTTGTTTTCGTGACTTATACCTAGACATTGCTTGATAAACATACGTAAGAATTGGTTTTAAGAACGAAAATTGTATTGAACTGTTAACTTAGATACGAAAATCGTAATTTTGATAGTATAAAATTGTAATGAACTTAAGAACAAAAATTAAAATTCTTAACAAATCACATGGATTAAAAATGTAATTTGCTCTAATTGTTTTTTTGAAAATCTACCAAATATTTTGTAGCCATACAAATTTATGGTGTAATTATGTATTCGTGAGATACAATAAATGCAAGATTTTAAGATTTTATTATAAATTGAAAATTTGTTATTTTCAATTAAATAAATGAAATTTTAATAAATCATAAATGGTTTTTGATAATTTATATATCTTTTTTATATATAATAGAAGAGTATTTGTGCAATACAACGAGATAAATCTCCATTTTAATGTTTAGTTTTAATTCTTTGTCTCTATCGATATAATATGATTTTATGTGATTTTGAGTAAGCGATAATATTATCATTTTTGAATGAAATATAAATTTGAATATATCATAAAATTTTGAAAAAAAATAAATCGATACTAGTATTAAATTAACTATTTAATAGTTATCGTTTTCTTGGTATAATTTTTTTAATTCAATTTTTTACTATAATTTATTGGAATTAATATCAAAGTAATTTATTTTTGATTTAATAATATTTTTTAATAAAAATAATAATTAAATATTCTGTTAGAATTCAATAATTATCTTAATTATATTTTAGATTTTTTATATTTAAAATAGATGTTTATCTTGTATTTGATTATGTTTATCTGCAGTTAGTTACACGAATTTAAAAATAAAGCTTAAATAAGTTATACTTATGCAAAACTACTTTTAATTTTGAATTATAAGTAATATGCATCAATAAACAGTACTTAATGCATAAAAAATAGTTTTTAAGAATTTTTGTCAAATGATTTATAATATAGTATATATAAATACACACACACTAGAAGGATGCCTGCATAATATATCTTAATTTTAATATTTCGTTTTATTATTTATCTGTGTTGATATAATACGATTTTTAAGGGTTTTAGGAAAATTATTATGTTTTTGTTTTTAAAATAAATATAAATTTAAACGTATCTTAAAAATTTGGAAAAAAAAACATCAATATTAGTATTACATTTGCTATTTAAAGTTCTGATTTTTATGTAATTTCTTTAATTCAATATTTTATTTATAATTTAATTTAGGTTTAATAACGAAATAATTTATTTATCGTTCAATAATTTAATTTTTTATAAAGACAATAATCAATTATTTTGTTAAAAGTCAATAATTATCTTAATTATATTTTAGATTTTTTATATTTAAAATAAGATGTTTATCATATATTTGATTGGATAATGGTTATAATGGAGTATTGTTAATAATTATCATGTATTTAAACATATTTACCAATTAATTATGTTTTTATAAAGTTTAAAGATATCTTAAAAAACTGTTTCTATGCAATAATTATTTATAAGTTGTTTGTGGTATTTTTTTAATTTTAAAAAATATATGAAAAATAAAATAATTATATATATATATATATATATATATATATTTTTTTTTAATTAAAAAAGGGTTTTAAGTTATTTTCTTATATATAAATAGAATGAAGGGTATGTGGCAAGTCAAGTTTCTTCGGCAAAGCATAGAGTCCAAGTCAGGAAAACAGAAGAAATCTCTTGACTTCTGTTCGTCATCCATCTTCATCGTTGTTAGGTCCAACAATGTCGTACGATTACCTTTTCAAATACATAATCATCGGTGATACAGGTAGCTTTTTTCAATCCTTTCCTTGATTTCTTTTTCTTCGTTAATTCTTTGATCATGATCATGTCAAAACCCTAAACAAATTGTATGCAACCATGTTCTTTAACCAGTTGTGGTGTTTCGTTACTCAGGTGTAGGGAAATCGTGTTTGTTGCTGCAATTCACCGATAAGAGGTTTCAACCGGTTCATGACTTGACTATCGGAGTGGAATTCGGTGCTCGTATGGTCGCCATTGATAGCAGGCCGGTTAAGCTTCAAATTTGGGATACTGTATGTCTTGTTAACCCATCTTCTCTCTCAATTTCAACTGATCCTTTATTTCTATGTAGTTTATTGACACCTCGATTGATCCTTGTTGCTAGTAATTTTTCTACTTCTATTTTAGAGAGATTTAATTTCTGCTTTATTTTGTTATGATCACTAATAAATTTTCATGAAATTATGCAAAATTTATCGGTGAGCACTTCTATTTTGATGATATTTGAGGACCTGTAAGACTGTATTACTTTGTTAATAGCTCCATTACTATACGACAATATAAATTAATTAAAGGAACCTTCTGATGACATCGTTCGTTGTTGTTACAGAAAATTCCTTATAGCTACTGATCTCTTTTCTTATAGTAATTATATGATGAGATTGGCTTTATGGTTCTTTTAGTATCTCTATGCTCAAATTGTGGTCATTCTTATGGAAAAATGTGTAGAGTGGATTTTTTTCAATTGGCTTTGTAAGGTTCATGCCAAGTCTCGTCTGAAGTTAAAATATCAGTTCCTATATAAAACCCCTGCCAGTCGTATAAGTTCAATCAGTTTCTTTATCAACAATGCTTCTGTTTTCTGGGCCGGGGGAAGGGAACTACCATCAAGTATTCTGCAAATCTACATGAACCACAAGGCATCTGTTTTTTCTTGATGTTAGTCATCTAAAGGCTGTCTTTAGAAGCTAACAGAGTAACCTGTATAATTAGATCTCATATTTTCTCAGAGTCTGTAGACATGGTCATTCAAAACCTTAATGACAGCCCAATGCCTAAGTTCCTGCTATCCATTCTAGTAAAAAGCTACCCTAAAGCATGAAGGCTCTTTCGCTTTCTGAGGACTCCTTTAAGGAAAGCTGAGGAGCCTCGCAACTCTCTGATGCTATTAATTACAATGATTTACATTATATGATAGTCAAGTTAGCAGGACAATGAAATTTCGATATAGTTGTTATAACAATTTGCTCATGGAGAGTAAATTATAAGCAAAATCAGGTAAGAAGAATAAATAATTACTTGTTATTTGTGTAACGGATGGCCTAGTGGATACTCAACTTATTTGTCACATTCACCTTGCATACGTCTCTCTCTCTCTTCTACAATATGAACAATCTACAAAAAAGGTATGGCTCCACCCTTTGGAGCTCCCACCATATTGGTCCATGGTCATTGTGGGGAGGTAAATCACATGTCCTAGGGGAGGTGGTGCTGTCTGGAGTTGAACTTTAGTTCATACCTCCCACTCATTTTGTAAGGATGTCCACCTCCTTACCCGCTAGGCTAAAGCAGCATGGACACAATATGAACATGTTACTCCTTTCTCAAAACCTGAAAAGATGAGTTAGGCATCTCAGTCCGGGGTTTGTCATTTATTTGCATAACCATGAGATTTTGCAATATTATTCATTTGGCTATTGGTACAACAAATTTGGGAGTATACCCTTCTCTTTGCTTTTCTTCTTGCATCGTGTAATACCCTGAATTTTGATAATAAGTTGAGAATGTTGTTAACTTTTTTTTAGATCCAGTGAATGCAAATAATTTGAGGATCACAAATATAGTTTTATTGTGGTAAAAGGAGGAATATTACTAGCAAATAATTGCTGACCAAGAATAGGCGATATATTTTATATTTATTTAGTTCATAATTAATTTTGGAGGTGGAGATTAATATGTAGCATTATAAGAGGAGACCCATTTGGTGTTTAATCACCACTTTTGGTCTAGCACCGCCAATCACGGGACTGTGATTTGACCACCGCTATTTGTCCCATGACTGCGGACCGCGCACCCAAGCGGCGTGATTAACAGCATAGATGGAGGGTTATGTGTTTACTTTCAGAATGTGTGATTGTTGTATCATTTCTTTTTGTTGTCATATATCTTGACTTTTAGATTCTAAGCTTTTGAAATTGTGAGTGTACTTGCACCATGAGTGCTGACTAAGAAACTTTTATTTGATTCAGGCTGGACAAGAATCTTTCAGGTCAATCACCAGGTCATATTACAGAGGAGCAGCTGGAGCACTTCTGGTTTATGATATTACTAGGTACATGCAATTATATGTATGTTTTGTGCATGTAAATGTTCTCCCATAAGGATTTTCCTTATCTATATAATATATTGATTCTCAAGTATTCCTTTTCCCTATTAGTTTCATTCTGTTTAGAGAACTTTGCTTCCAAACTCTAACTGAAGAAGATTAGATTTAGATGTCGAAACAATTCACGACATTACAGGTGGATAATGAGCATAGATAGAGTAACCCTCTGCTCTCCTAACAGTGTTTACCCGGTGATGGATTCAGGAGTCTTGGTGATGGGGTCAGGATTTAAGTAACAATATAAACTAAAAGAAATAATTTTTCTTGTGGGAATGTATGGTCAAACCTTACTATTTTTGGCGGTCAGAAGAGAGATATTAATAGAAAACAAATTTATAATATTAAGAAAACAAAACTTCATGGGGTCAGGTGACCCCCCCCCCCCCCAAAAAAAAAAAAAAAACCTTATGAATACATCCTGCTCTAACTCAAATTGGTAATTTCCTAACTTTTTAGACCAGTTTTTTTAAATCCCATGGGATCCTGAAGATAATATCCAAAAAAATTCCCGGTGGTCCTGAGGAGACTTGAACCGGCTACCTATGAAGATGAGACCAAGGCCTAATCTTTATTTGCCGGTTAGCTGGCCTCAAGGTTTATCTAGACCAGTTTGATTGTACTAACTATGGTATTTAATACCGAGGCTTTTTTACTGTAGACCATTTGGGGATATTGTTGTGGGGATTGGTGATGAAATTTGCGTGATTTGTATCAGGAGAGAAACATTTAATCATCTAGCTGGGTGGCTTGAAGATGCACGGCAGCATGCGAACCCCAACATGACTATCATGCTTGTAGGAAATAAAAGCGATCTTTCCCACCGAAGGGCTGTCAGCAAAGAGGAAGGACAGCAGTTTGCAAAGGAAAATGGCCTCTTGTTCCTAGAGGCATCTGCAAGAACAGCGCAAAATGTTGAGGAGGTACTTTTTCACTCACATTTCCTCCTTAATTCTTTCTGGTGGGTCCCATCTCCATTTTGGAGTTCTTTTTAAGCAAACCGTGTAGATTCTCTTATAAGAACTACCATTGGAGAGAGCTCTTACAAGTCACCCACATCCTTGAAAGTTCTTGTACAAGAACCATGGTTCTTACCTTGAACTTTGTGTGAAATGACAATTTATTAGTTCTTTAATATATTTTATTGATGTTAAAAAGAACACATGGGATCCATAAAAGGGGTTCTTATAAGAATTACCATTGTGGAGTTTTATGAAGGTTATTAATTTGATGAGTTGGCAATGATGTGGCAAGAAAAAATACAAAAAGTTAGAACCTCCATTGGAGGAGATGTTATAAGAACCTTCTTTTTTGCACTTTTTTGGTCACACCATTGCCAATTCAGCAAATTAAGAACTACCATAAAAATCCACAATAATACTGACTAATAAGGACCTTCTTTTGTGGGTCCCATGTATTATTTCAACATCAATAATATGGCTATAAAATATCAAAAGGATATATAGAAGTCACTTCACACAAAATTCAAGGTAAGAACCAAGTTTCTTGTACGATACAAGAACTCAAAATGTGGTAATTTATAAGAAACCTCTCCGGTGGTAATTCTTACAAGTCACCGACACTGTTTTGCTTATAAGAACCCCTCCCATTGGAAGATGAGACCCAGAAAATGTGATTGAAATTGATTTTATATGATTTCCAGGCTTTTCTGAAGACTGCAGAAAAGATACTGGAGAAGATCCAGGAAGGCGTGTTTGATGTATCCAATGAGGTAATTTTACTTTCCCAGTTCAGTTTTAAAAAGTTGGGGTTGTATCAAGACTGACTTTGACTTTGTTTTATATGATCGAGTTATTAGTCATCAGGGATCAAGGTTGGATACGGACGTCCGCAAGGCACAGGAGGAGCAAGAGATGGAACAGTTGCTCAGAGTGGTGGATGTTGTAGTTGATTTCCAAACCATTTATATATATGATTAATTATTCATGAATCTTGGGACATGTACGTATTCTGGTTTATGGGGATGTTCATTCATGTCATGTGTAGCTTGAAAATTGTTATCATGTGAATACAAGGTTTATCGACTCCTTTCCCATATACATGAATTTATGAGTTATTGGTCAGGTTTTGGGGAAAATTGTAAAAAAATGAAAAACCGAGTAACACTCTACAATTTTGTAGTTTACGCCCATGCCTGAATTTAACTCCATAAGAGTCAAAAAAATGAGTTTCTAGAACTGGTCATGTACAAAATGGGATTTGCACACTGGTATTAGAAAATTCATATAAAATCGGTTTTTGTTTATGTTAATATTGTGATTATATCCATATCGTCTTAATTTTGGTCTAACACACCTTTATTTTGATGGATATTCACAGTAAAGGTTACAACATTGTATGCTAGCTATTTATGTTGTCATGTTTTCCGTTGCAACACCATCCTCCGGCTACGCTGGCCAGGAGTGTTACAACATTTACCAAACATACGTTTTCGTCTACAGCAAAGGTGTTAATGGGTAAGGAAAACAAACAAACGCTATTTTGCGCATTTATTTGCAACGTAAAAGTTGATTTAAAACAAGCAAAGCTGCAAAATTACTCGATAAATAACCATTAAAAATCAATTGATACTAAAACTTAGGCCTAAGGTACAACAAAATATCAAGAAAAAACCCTCAGAATTTCATCTTCTGTCTCCAAATTGTCCAGAGTTTCTTCCAAATCTTACGCGCAAATTGTCAAGAGTACGTGACACCACCAACAGCCTTGGATCGTCTTCAGGAATCTCTCGATCCTACATTTCAATGCAAATGTCAAACAAAAAGAACACAAAACCACATTTTTAACCAACCATCAATCAAATTATACCTTTAAACCGTTGTAATATGCTTGAACGGCAGGAAGAAATGGAGTTATATTACGAGCTTGCATCAGATCCCATATCATATTAGCAATCGTATATCCCCCGTTCTACAAATAAAGATTAATACAAAAGGTTGAGCAAACTTTGTTTAAACAAGCCACAATCCATGTGTCCCAATATAAATGTCCACAAAGCAAAAAGCACAGTTTTAGAAACGTCTAGTTATTACATTTTTTGATGAAGTAAATGACAATTCTACCCTTAATAGTAATAGGAGTAATGGCATTTCTTCATCTCATAATTAATGGTAGAATTAGAAAGTAGACAATTATTGTTGAAAGTAACACTTAGTTTGGCACAAAATAATATCGAAATAAACCAAACCAAATCAAACGACACAGTAGATCCCACTAAAAAATAGGGTCTTTATGGGGTGAGGGTGGGTGGTTGATGTACGTAGATCTGACCTCTACCCCAACAGAGTTACAAATTAAAATTGAGATGTGGACATTTATTTTGGGATAAACTAACATTGAAATGTGGATACTTATTGTGGGATAAACTAAAACAGAAATCCAGACATTTATTTAGAGACGGAGGGAGTAATAAACTACAGCTTGCTTACCTTTTCACCAGATGCTGCAAGGAGGAGGGCATTACCCGTTGAGGCAACCAGGTTAATACCCCTAGAACTCATCTGCGTCTGAATAAACAAAACAAACAACCAGCAATTAGTGATATAGGTTTAGGTTCAGGGGAAAACCGGAAAAAATTGAAAAATTGAAGAATATCCTAATATAACCATTTATCTGCACGGTATGCACATGTGCATACAAGTAATTTGTAAGTAATTTTTCCAATATGCACATGTGCATACCGTACAAATAAATAACTGAAAATTGAAAAACTGAAGAACACCCTAATAACCGTTCTTAGGGTGTTCCTCAGTTTTCATTTTTTAGGAGTTTTCTCCTGAACCCC